TTTTTCTGCAGCTATGGCTCTGGAAAGCGTATCAAATTACCATACACTCGAAAAATCATTGATGCCATCCACTCTGGTAGCCTCTTGAATGCAACTTACGAGAAAACTGAGGTGTTTGGACTAGAGATCCCCACTGAGGTTGAGGGAGTGCCTTCAGAAATCTTGCATCCAGAAAACACAGTAAGTTGTACATTCTTCAACTTTTCAGTGCTTAGTGATGGTCAACCTGTTTCTTTAGCAGGAAACTTGAGCTTCTCTGGATTTTAGTAATGTATATGGTTATTGGATTGCAGTGGACTGACAAGCAGGCGTACAAGGACACACTGTTGAAATTGGGTGGCCTGTTCAAGAAGAACTTTGAGACATTCACAAACTACAAGATTGGCAAGGACAACAAGCTGACTGAGGAGATCCTAGCAGCAGGTCCAAACTTTTAACTCTGAAGCAATGAGCAAGGCAAGAAATTGCGATAGGAAGTCTCGAAAGAGAGAGCAATAAGAGTGTTCTTGCTAGTAATAGAAAAATGTAGCGTCCTTTATTAGGGTCCAATATTATGTCAAACCATATCCAATGTATAATTGGAGTAGCACTTTTCTTTCGGCTATGACTTCGCTGAAATAGTTAATTGTTTAAATAAAAAAGTAGCCTGCCTTCAGTTGTTGCCGGGGTTGAGTCCCTTCTAAAGCACCTTAAAAAGTGAGAGGAAGCACTTGGTCTTGGATAGTAGAATCAATCCAAAGTTAGAATTATTCGAATACTGAAACAGTTAGTACCCTTTGTCTCTATTTCCTCTTTGCTAAAGTTATTACCAATCTTTTGTCTCTTCAAAATATAAAGAAAATAAAAATTAAAAAAAAAAAAAAAAACTTGAGCAAATCTTTGCAGACAAAAGGCATAAGATTTGTTTGTCACATTGTATTGAGAAAAAGAAGAAAAAGGGAAAAAAATTGTCAAAACTTGGGGTAAGCTCTTGATTCCATAGTTGTTTAACGTAACTCAAACCTTAAAATAAAATATTACGAAAGTGGTATCTTTACCTTTTAAAATTGTGTAGTAGAATCTGCGCTCTTTTCATTGATCAATGTTACAGTTTAGTGATAATATCAGCAACAATTGTGATTGGGGGTTTACACGTGACAATCCAATTAGTGCATCAAAATAAAAACAAGGATCAAACCAAACAAGTGATAATTTTTTAAAGGTGTTAAATGAGTGGGGCAAGTGTGTAACATGACATAATTTGGCATGATATAGATCGTGTTTGCCGTGACTCATTATTATAATTATAGGTCTTATTACGCATTACGTATATACTAGTGCCGTGTTGGGTTAGATAGTTCTTATTATATAAAGAATGGTTTTTCATCCTTTTTACAAAATTAAATTGCATAAATAAATCTATTTATAAAATATTTAAATTATTAGTAGATAAAATTATAATTTTTTTATTTTTATTTGTCATTTTCTAAAAAAACTATAAAATATATATTACATAAATAATGATTATGAAAAAAACTAAAAACTAAACAAAACATGTAATATAAATGAATCATTATATAATGAAAATGAGAAATAAAATAATAATAATGTGATATCTACTTTTTTTTTTTAAATATGGAATGTAATATTAATAGTTGTTATTATTTTGATGAATTCTTTTAATTTTTACTTGTAAGAATAGACATTTTGTTGAATCATATGAATTATGTACCTTCTGTATTAATTTTATATATTAATTTTTAAAGATAATCAAAAAACAAATAAAAAAATTTCTTTTAAATTTTTTTTAAAATTTTTAAAAGTATTAATAAATTATGTTTGGTCCGATTCGATGTAAAAAAACAATATTGTGCTAAACTCAACACGATCCATAAGGGATGTGGGTCATGTGCCATGCTAAACAATACTTTTAGTTTTAATGAATTGTACCAATATGATATGTTGAATAATAGTGTTGGATCAACATAACTTATTAACATATTAACTAATTTTTTAATGGGTTATGCTAGTTTAGCATGGCTCATTTGATATCTCTAATTCTTTACTCAACTTTTTTCTTATCTTTTCTCACTAATTTTTATTTTCTTTATCTTTTTTTTTTTCACTTATACTTTGTTGATTTAAATGTTAAAACGCGTCCGAAATACTATTTTTCACATCTCTTGATTTTTTTAATGACAAGTCACATATATTCTTTTTCTCAATTTTTAAAGAACCTCTCAATAACTAAATTAAAAATTACATCAACAATCAAATTTTAATTTATGATAATTTTAAATATAAGTTACAATTTAAAAAATTTGTTATACCATTATTATGCTATTATTTTCAACTTAAAAACATAGTCAGAGGATTGTAGGAACAAATAATGAGAATTAATTACAAATTTGTTAATTAAAATTTAAAAGAAAAAAGATAAAAAAAGTTTGTAATTAATTTATTTATGGTAATTAAATTGTGGTAGTAAGGTCCTTAATTTACCAAACAATCCCGTGATACAAAAACAAGAACTAAAGATTGCTTAGTTACTAATAAATGATTGACTAAATTGATTGAAATTCGTTTTTTTTATGAAGAGATTTTAAGTTTGAGTCTAATCAATGATCGTTTGTTGAAATTATCTTTAATGCACGACCTAAAATTATTTATTTTATATCGTCAAATATGACATATGTTATCATAATTTAAATATTGAATAATTTATCTACTTCAAATCTTTTCTTACAAAAAAAAAAAGCCTATTAAAAACCAAACCAAGTTAAGGTTCACCTGTGTGTGGAGTGAGAACTAGAGGTGTAAATGAGACATTTGTATTCGTAAGTTATTCGGATTCGATTCAATAATTATTGAGTCGAGCTCAACTTATCGAATGAGTCGAGTTTGAGCATATTAATACTTAACTCAAATAGCTCATAAGTTTATTTAAGTTTTTCTATTATATATATATATATTTGAATAAGGTTATTAAAGTGTTTTTTTGACTAAAAACGTTTTGAATAATTACTTACGAAAATTGAAGAGGATTATTTAACACGTTTCTAGTATAAAAACGCATTAAATAATCCCCTTCAAAATTTTTTGGAGATTATTCTAAATGTTTTTTGTCAAAAAATGTTTTAAATAATCTCTTAATAAAAATTGAAAGAGATTATTCAAGACTTTTCCAACTAAAAATACTTTGAATAATCTCTTTTGTTTTTTTTAGAATATTTTCATTCAATTTTTTATAAAGGGTTATTCAAGACGTTTTCTATGCAAAAACGCTATGAATGGTCCTAATAAAAAATTAGAGATGATTATTCAATGCGTTTTTAGCAAAAAAAACTTTAAATAATCTCTTCTTATTTTTTTGAAATATTTTTATTTAATTTTTTGTAAGAGATTATTTAAAATATTTTTAATTAAAAGACCAAAAATACTTTAAATAATTATCTCATAAAAGATGTGGGTCATGTGCCATACTAAACTATGCTTTCAATTTTAATGAATTGTGCCAGTACTACATGTTAAATAATAGTGTTGGATCAACACGCCCCATTAACACATTAACTAGTTTTTTAATGGATTTTACTACTTCAGCATGACTCATTTGACACCTCAAATTCTCTAGTCAGCTTTTTTCTTATTTTTCTTACTAATTTTTACTTTCTTTACCCATTTTTTTCGCTTATACTTTATTCATTTAAATGTTGAAACACGTCCGAAATACCATTTTCCACATCTCTTGATTTTTTTTAATGACAAGTCACACATATTCTTTTTCTCAATTTTCAAGGAATCTCTCGATAATTAAATTAAGAATTACATCAACAATCAAAATTTAATTTATGATATTCTTAAATATAAGTTACAAGTTAAAAAATTTGCTATACCATTATTATGCTATTATTTTCAATTTAAAAACATACTTAGAGGATTGTATGATCAAATAATGAGAATTAATCACAAATTTATTAATTAAAATTTAAAAAAATTAAAAGTTTGTAAATAATTTATTTATAGTAATTAAATTGTAGTATTAAAGTCTCTAATTTATCAAACAATCATGTGATACAAAAACAAGAACTACCGACTTATCAGGATATGTAGCGCTAATATTTTTATATCTTAATGACTTTATTTTTATGTCTAATGTGAAATTGAAGTATCCTATTTATTTTTTTTTGAAGTATTTAATGTGACATTTTTTTTCATCCAATTTCGTGACGTGCATATCATGTAGGTTAATTATCTTGCCTATCATCCCTTAAGACGTTTGAAGTGGGTTGAATGGTCCAGTGTCTGCTTTGATATCACTTGTCACGTGATAATTACCCTCTCCCCTTAATACTGACTTGTCAAAATGTGCATATTAACATTTTTATACTTCAATTATCCTCATTTAATGTATGATGTAAGATTGAAATATCTTGTCTACTCTTTTTTAGAGCATTTAGCATGACATTATCATTTGTTGAAATCATCTTTAATGTACGATTTATAAACACTTATTTTAATTTATCAAATATGATATATTTTATCATAGTTTAAATATTAAATAACTTATCTATCTCAAATTTTTTTCTAACAAAAAAAATTGCTAATTAGAAACCAAACCAGAGTTTCGCCTGCGTGTGGAGTGATGACGGGTTGATATTCGGTTTTTATTTATCCGACCTTGTTTTAAGGCGAATAAAAATTCAATTATTTTCAAAATTTTTTTATTTATTAACATCAATTAAATTTTAAATATTTATTTTTATTAATTAAATAAAAAATTAATTAAATTGTTAATATTAATTTTCATTAAATAGAAATTTAATTAAAATAAAAATAAATATTGAAACATTCAAATAATTTTAAATAAAAAAATTTTATATTTGATTGATTACAATAAAATACAAAATTTTTTACCTTTTACCGTTACTTTTTGTTGAGCCTTGACTATGGTTAACTCTAACTCTAGTTAACCCAACAACCCCGGTCCCCTCCCTCACCCTTTAAATTGGACTTATCCTCGCCTTGTTCGTTATCATTAACCTTCTCGTTTTTCCCTACTATAGCACCCAACTTCAACGTCGAATGATCCATTTCTCTTCTCATTAATCCCCCTTTTTTTCTTTTATTCGTTTCTCTTCTCTTCGTTTCGAGCTCTCCGAATCTCTGGTACAAATATTTATTTTTTTAAAATTTTTTTTAAACTACTGTTAGTCGAAGTCTGAGTTGTTATAATTTTTATGGGCAATCTTGACAATGGAAAAAGTGAGAAATATTCAAAACTTGACATTATGGCAGAACGTATATTAGTGTTTTGGACGACATCAAAATTAGTTAAAACAACTTTGTTTTTATGTTGCTTTAGAAACTAGGGAGATATTGTGGATAATATTACAGAAATAAAGCTTATTCTTTTTTGTTTAGTGTCATTTTTTAGAGGGAAAGTATGGCGGCAAATGGAACCGGAGTGTCGACGCCAAGGAGTCAGTTGGCTAGGATTCAGACGCAGAAGAAGGGCAACGAGATGTGTCACGATGACAGTGGAAAACCCGTTAAGGCTCAGACGATTGATGAGCTTCACTCTTTGCAGAAGAAGAGATCTGCGCCAACTACGCCTCTCGACGGGGTCCAGGGTGCCTTCGCTAGCTTGACCGAGGGGGAACGCCAGAGGCAGCAGCTCCAGTCCATCAGGTACACGTGCACATGCGATACAGATTATTAAAAAAAAATAAAGAAAATCTTTATCATCTTAATTAAATATTAATTAAAGAAATAGTGAATGATGTGAGAAATTAAATTTTCTCAAGTGGAGACCCCTTTTCCCTTCGATGTTGGAGGATTAGAAGGTGTGTGGAGAGTTGATGGAAAGATGATGGGGGTGCTGTATTTTCCCCTGCGATTTGGGTGGAATTGATGTGGGACCCACGTGCTTGTTAGGTCAAGGAATGATTGCTAGAAGCTTTTTCAGGCTGCTTCTTCGCTCTTGCCATAGTCCTGAGAATCGGATGAAACGAAGATGGATGCTATTTCTTTTCATGATCGAATTACTAAACTATCCGTGCAAAGTGTAAAATATTAGGGGTTATTATAATGATGTATTGGGCCTTGATAAGGGTAAATCTGTCATTTCATAGAACGCAACATAGCAGAACATTCTGATTCTTCATCCTTTGCTTCCTAATTTTTATTAGGGATTTTGCTTTTTAATTTTCATTAATTTTTTGAACAGTGCATCTTTGGCTTCACTGACGAGAGGAACAGGTCCAAAGGTGGTGAAAGGAGACCCAGCGGAGAAGCCTTATGCGGTTGCGCATGTGGCGCACCATTACCACCATGTGGAGGCACCAACCATCAGCGTCAGTGACAGTTCTTTGAAATTCACCCATGTCCTCTACAACCTCTCTCCTGCAGGTATATATGACATAAACCATTCACCGTCGAAAGCCTTCTAACTCAACGATCAAGTAAACATATTTTTATCGAAACTTATAAAATTATTATTAATTTTTTGTGTTGATGCAGAGTTGTATGAGCAGGCTGTAAAGTATGAAAAGGGTTCTTTCATTACATCAAGCGGTGCATTAGCCACCCTATCAGGAGCCAAGACCGGTCGGTCTCCAAGAGATAAGAGGGTTGTTATTGATGACACCACCCAATATGAGCTTTGGTGGGGAAAGTAAGCGTATACATTATTTAACTCTTTCATACATTTATGTGGAATTTTGACGTACGAAAAGATTTTAGTGCTTGCTGAATAAGACTAGAACCTAATAATTGGTGATGACAGGGGCTCACCCAACATTGAAATAGACGAGCATACCTTCATGGTGAACAGAGAAAGAGCTGTTGATTACTTGAATTCTCTCGACAAGGTGAACTTTCTTTTTTTAAGGTCTGATTACCTTTTTGTTCCTGGTGACAAATAACTAAATGCATAGACAGTATCTAACCCCTTAAAAAAGGGTAAAAGGTTGAGTAAAATGCTAATAAAATAAATGGCAATTATCTCTAAGAATAACATTATTATTATACTTTTGGAAGATGTTGATGTGGGGGGGTTTTCCTTTTTTCTTGGGGGGGGGGGGGGGGGAAGGGTCCAACAAGTTGTCCTAGGGGCACCCTAATCCATTGGGAATAGCAACTTTGTCTTTGCATGAGTAATTGTGGGGCACATTCTCTATGTTGTGTCCTTCTTGCTTTCTTTTTGAGGCAGGAAGAGAATAGAATATATCTCTGTTTGATTATTTTGTGCAGTCAGTTATTTAGATAACATATACTAGATGTTATCTTTGTTATTTGCTTTTTTTTATTTCTAAAAAAGGTGTGAAAAAATGAAATTAAAATAAATGAAGAATATATAAATAGTTACTAAAATTTAACACTAATTCTAATAATATATTTGTTTCTATATTAAACTAAAATCATGCATTTACTTGGCCTATAGACAACCGGTCTATGCAGCTACTGGTTTTTGATCAATCTAGAGGAATTCTGACTGATGGTAATTGGATGTAAATGATTTCCAGGTTTTTGTGAATGATCAATTCTTGAACTGGGATCCACAGAACAGAATCAAAGTCCGGATTGTCTCTGCTAGAGCTTATCATTCATTGTTCATGCACAACATGTAAGTAAAAGCTTAGCAACTTTAAAGTTTTATCAGCCGTTTTTTGTTTGTGTTTCCACAGGTCTAAGCCTATACCAGATAAGTCTCTTTATCATTGTTATGATGTTAATTGTATGTATTTTATCAATCCCCCTAGAATTCCCTGGAGGAATAAGGTTAAAAAGAATGGTAAAAGCTTAGTGTACAATTGGGTAATTGGGTGGGTGGCAGGTGTATCCGACCCACTCTTGAAGAGCTGGAGAATTTCGGTACTCCGGACTTCACTATATACAATGCTGGACAGTTCCCGTGTAACCGTTATACACACTACATGACATCCTCTAGTAGCATAGACCTTAATCTTGCTAGGAGGGAAATGGTCATTCTCGGCACTCAGTACGCCGGGGAAATGAAGAAGGGTCTTTTCAGTGTTATGCATTATCTCATGCCCAAGCGTCAAATCCTCTCCTTACATTCTGGCTGCAATATGGGGAAAGATGGAGATGTTGCCCTCTTCTTTGGACTGTCAGGTATAGTAACATTGGACCAAGGTCACGAAGTGGTGCCAGTCCCCAATCGATATGTGTCCTCTTACTTTGTTCTTGAAGCCTTAATACATTTATTATGAAAAGGCTTTATGTCCTTTTCATTAACTTGGTTTTGCATTGTTACTAATGAGTTTACTTCAATAATTTTCTTAATAGGTACTGGCAAGACTACTCTGTCTACTGATCACAATAGGTATCTGATTGGAGATGATGAACACTGTTGGAGTGATAATGGTGTGTCAAACATTGAAGGCGGTTGCTATGCCAAGTGCATTGATCTTTCTGGGGAGAAGGAGCCTGATATCTGGAATGCCATTAAGTTTGGCACTGGTGAAATTCTATGTCCTCTCTGTTCTTAAATTATCTTACCTGGAATACAATCATAGTGCTCCTTTTGATCTTGTTCATTCTTTATTTCTGCAGTGTTGGAAAACGTAGTTTTTGATGAACATACAAGAGAGGTGGAATACGGGGACAAATCAGTTACAGGTATATCAAGCAATCTTGGGGCCAATGGATAAGTTCAACGATGTCTGAGTCATCATGAGATGTAGCCAACTTGAGTGGATCATTGTAGTTGATTATTCAGAATTTTCTTTCAGATTTATTGAATCTGATTAAGCTAGTGGAAAATTATACAGAGTCAACTCATACACTTAGCCAATTGAGTTGTTTAGACAAAGAAGATAGAAGTAAACATTACGTTATGTTGACTTTCTCAATGCACCATTTAGTTGATGAAAATTGTGAGAGATTTTTAGGGAAATATAAAATACCAAATAGAGGATTAGAAAATTGGAAAGAAGTAGATAATGAACATAAGCTTTTGATGCCAAATTCGTTGACTATGTGGTAGAGATCAATGACTTGTCTAGATAACCATGAATTCAGGATTGAGGAGAAAAATTAATTTGCAGAACATCTGGCAGTGAAGTAGTTTTACACATTATCTTTAATATAATTTTCTTTGCTTGCAGAGAACACTCGTGCAGCATACCCCATCGAATACATTCCCAATGCTAAGATTCCATGCGTTGGGCCACACCCTAAGAATGTCATACTTTTGGCATGTGATGCCTTTGGTGTCCTTCCACCTGTGAGCAAGCTGAGTTTGGCACAAACCATGTATCATTTCATTAGCGGCTACACTGCTCTGGTATGTTTCTGTGTCCTTGTCCTTTCTTTTATGTGCTATGAAGAAACACTTAATTTGCTCAGCAAGGCTTGGGATTCTTGCATCTTGCGACTGAACTTGGTCGATGATACATATAGGTGGCTGGCACAGAAGATGGTATTAAGGAGCCAACAGCAACATTCTCAGCTTGCTTTGGCGCAGCATTTATCATGTTGCATCCTACTAAGTATGCAGCTATGCTTGCGAAGAAAATGCAGAAGCATGGAGCAACAGGATGGCTTGTCAACACTGGCTGGTCCGGTGGAAGGTAACTTCCAGTCATTGCGAACCATATTGGAATTACATTTACACTTAAACTGGAAAAAGATTAAAAGTGGTTTTTCTGCAGCTATGGCTCTGGAAAGCGTATCAAGTTACCATACACTCGAAAAATCATTGATGCCATCCACTCTGGTAGCCTCTTGAATGCAACTTACGAGAAAACTGAGGTGTTTGGATTAGAGATCCCCACTGAGATTGAGGGAGTGCCTTCAGAAATCCTGCATCCAGAGAACACAGTAAGTTGTCCATTCTTCAACTTTTCAGTGCCTAGTGCTGGTCAGCCTGTTTCTTTAGCAGGAAACTTGAGCTTCTCTGGATTTTAGTAATGTATATGGTTATTGGATTGCAGTGGACTGACAAGCAGGCATACAAGGACACGCTGTTGAAATTGGGTGGCCTGTTCAAGAAGAACTTTGAGACCTTCACAAACTACAAGATTGGCAAGGACAACAAGCTGACTGAGGAGATCCTAGCAGCTGGTCCAAACTTTTAACTCTGCAGCAATGAGCAAGGCAAGAAATTGCCGTTGGAAGTCTCGAAAGAGTGTTCCTGCCAGTAATAGAAAATGTAGTTTTCTTTGTTAGGGTCCAATTCATATGTAAAATGGTTCATTATGTGAATCCATATCCAATTTATAATTGGAGTAGCACTTTTCTTTTGGCTATGACTTCGCTGAAATAGTTCATTGTTTAAATAAAAAAAAGTGGCCTGACTTCTGTTATTGGCGGGGTCGAGTCCCTTCTAAAGCACCTTAAAAAGTGAGAGGAAGCACTTGGCCTTGGATGGTAGAATCAATCAAAAGTTAGAATTATTCGAATACTGAAACAGTTAGTTCCCTTTGTCTCTATTTCCTCTTTGCTAAAGTCATTACCAATCTGTTTTTCCTTCAAAATATAAAGAAAAAAAAAAACTTGAGCAAATCTTTGCAGACAAAAGGCATAAGATTTGTTGTCTCATTGTATTGACAAAAAGAAGAAAAAAGGAAAAAAAAATTATCAAAACTAGAGGCAAGCTCTTGGCTCCATAGTTGTTTAACGTAACTCAACCTTAAAATAAAATATTACAAAAGTGGCATCTTTACCTTTTAAAATTTAAGTAAAAAAATTGTGTGTTAGAATCTACGTTCGATTCATTGATCAATGTTACTGTTTAGTGATAATATCAGCAACAATTGTGATTGTAACATCAACGGGGTTCACAGATGGCAATGCTATTAGTGCATCAAAATAAAAGGAAGGATCGAACCAAACATGTGATAATTTTTTAGAGTTGTTCAATAAGTTGGGCAATTTATAACACGACATGATTTGATATGTTATAGACCCTTTTTGGCATGATCCATTACTATAATCATGGGTCTTGTTATGCACAACTCATATATTAGTACCGTGCTGCGTTAAAGATTTTGAGTCAATTAGGCTAGCATGGTACGACCCATCATTGACAAATGGCACATGAGCTAGCACGACATACAAGCATTATTGTTTCTTGTTGTTCTTACTCATAAATATTATAAATGAATTTAATATGTTGATTTTTAATTATACTCTATATTACTCTTATTATATAATGAACGGTTTTTTACCTTTTGATAAAATTAAATTGTTTAAATAAATTTATTTATAAAATATTTAAATTATTAATAAATAATTTTTTTTTTCATTTTGATTTGTCATTTTTTAAAAAAACTATAAAATGTATATTACTTAAAAAATAATTATGAAAAAACTAAGAACTAGACAAATCATATAATATAAATGAATCATTATACGATGAAAATAAAAAATAATAATAATGTGATAAATATATTTTTTAAATATAGACATGTAGTATTAATATTTGTTATTATTTTGGTAAATTCTTTTAATTTTTACTTGTAAGAATAGATATTTTGTTCAATTATATAAATTATGTGCATTTGGTATTAATTTCATATATTAATTTTTAAAAATAATTAAAAAATAAATAAAAAAATTTTATTTAAAAATATTAAAAAATTATTAATAGATCGTATTTGGTCTGATACGACATAAAAAGCAGTATTATGCTAGGCACAACACAATTTATAAGTGATGTGGGTCATGTACTATGCTAAACTATATTTTCAATTTTAATGAATCGTGTTGGCACGACATGTTGATGATAATGTTGGATCAATACGATCTATTAACATATTAATTAAATTTTTAATGAGTTTTGCTAGTTTAGCATGACTCATTAGACACATTTAATTCTTTTACTCAATTTTTTCTTATCTTTTCTCACTAATTTTAACTTTCTCGACCTTTTCTTTTTTACTTGTACTTCGTTAATTTAAACGTTGAAATATGTCCAAAATATTATTTTCGACATTTCTTGATTTTTTTAATGACAAATCACACAAATTCTCTTTCTCAATTTTCAAAGAACCTCTTAATAACTAAATTAAGAATTACATCAATAATCAAAATTTAATTTATGATATTTTTAAATATAAGTTACAACTTAAAAAATTTGTTTTATCATTATTATGTTATTATTTTCAATTTAAAGACATAGTTAAAGGATTGGAGGTACAAATAATGAAAATTAATCACAAATTTGTTAATTAAAATTTGAAAAAAAAAGATAAAAAAGTTTGTGAATAATTTATTTATAGCAATTAAATTATTGTAGTAAGGTTCTTAATTTATCAAATAATCTCGAATTTACGTTTAATAAGAATTAAAAATTATTTAATTATCAATAAGTGATTGATTTAATTAATTAAAATTTATTTTTTTTTATAAAAAATTTTTAAGTTTAAATTTTATTGATGATCGTTTATTAAAATTATTTTAAATATATAATATGTTTTGTTATGATTTGAAAATGAAAAAATTTATATTAAATTATTAAATATAACATGTTTTATCATAATTTGGAGATGTAAGAACTTATCGATTACAAACTTTTTCCTACCAAAAAAAAAAAAATTGCCTAATTAGAAACCAAACCCAGTTAAGGTTCGTGTGTGCGGAGTGGGGACCAGCTGAAATTCCTGATCTTTATTTATCCGACTTTGTTTTAACGCCAATAAAAATTCAATTATTTTCAAAATTTTTTTATTTATTACGGTCGATTAAATTATTAATATTAATTTTCATTTAATAAAAAATTAATGAAAATAAAAATAAATATTTAAACATTCAAATAATTTTAAATAAAAAAATTTTAATTTTTGATTGATTGTTATAATAAAATACGAAAGTTTTAACCTTTTACCGTTACTTTTTGTTGGGCCTTGACTATGGTTAACTCTAACTCTAGTTAACCCAACAACCCCCGCCCCCCCTCCCTCACGCTTTAAATTGGACTCCTCCTCCCCTCGCTCATTGTCATCACCCTTCTCGTTTTTCCCTACTATAGCACCCAACTTCAACGTCGAATGATCCATTTCTCTTCTCATTAAACCCCCCTTTTTTTCTTTTATTCGTTTCTCTTCTCTTCGTTTCGAGCTCTCCGAATCTCTGGTACTAATATTTATTTTTTCTAAATTTTTTTAGACAACTGTTAGTTCAAATCTGAGTTGTTATAATTTTTACGGGCAATCTTGATAATGGAAAAAGTGAGAAACATTCGAAACTTGACATTATGGCTGAACCTATATTAGTGTTTTGGAAGACATCAAAATTGCTTAAAACAACGTTGTTTTTATATTGCTTTAGAAGCTAGGGAGATATTGTGGATAATATTACAGAAATAAAGCTTGTTCTTTTTTGTTTAGTGTCATTTTTTAGAGGGAAAGTATGGCGGCAAATGGAACCGGAGTGTCGACGCCAAGGAGTCCGTTGGCTAGGATTCAGACGCAGAAGAAGGGCAACGAGATGTGTCACGATGACAGTGGAAAAACCGTTACGGCTCAGACGATTAACGAGCTTCACTCTTTGCAGAAGAAGAGGTCTGCGCCAACTACGCCTCTCGACGGGGTCCAGGGTGCCTTCGCTAGCTTGACCGAGGGGGAACGCCAGAGGCAGCAGCTCCAGTCCATCAGGTACACGTGCACATGCAATACAGATTATTAAAAAAAAAAAAGAAATCTTTATCATCTTAATAAAATATTAATTAAAGAGTTAAGATGATTAAAATAAAACGAATGATGTGAGAAATTAAAAATTTCTCAATTGGAACCCTTTCCCCTTCGATGTGGGACGATAAGACGGTGTGGGAGCTGGTGGAAGACTGAAATGGATCCATATTGATGTATGATGCGGGTGTTGTATTTTATGTGGGTGGATTTGATGTAGGACCCACGTGATTGTTGGGTCAAGAGACGAGTGCTTGAAGCTTTTTCAGGCTGCTTCTTACCTCTTGCCTTGGTATCGAAATCCGATGAAACGAAAATGGATGTTTTTTCTTTTCATGATCAATATAAATATTCCCTCTAAGTGTAAGATATTACAAATAATTTAGAATTATTGGATTCTAATGTATTCTGTCATCATTGGAGCACTTTACAGAGATTTGATCCTCATTTTATTTCCTAATTTTGATCAGTTGATTTTGCTTTTTATGTTCATTATTTTGTTTGAACAGTGCAATCTTTGGCCTACTGACAAGGAACATGTCAAAGTTTGTAAAAGGAGACCCGGAGAGAACTATACTGCCTGTTCCGTAAAGACTTATCATGTTGAGTGCATCAACCAAAGCAATTTTACAGGTCTTTGCAATTCAACCATGTCCTCTAAACTCTTCCTGCAGGTTATTACAAGTTAAATTAGATTCACTGTTAATCCTTTAATCAATGATCAAGTAACATAATTCTATCTAAAATTATAAAATTATTGTTATTATTTTTTTGTGTTGATGCAGAGTTGTATGAGCAGGCTATAAAGTATGAAAAGGGTTCTTTCATTACATCAACCGGTGCATTAGCCACCCTGTCAGGAGCCAAGACCGGTCGGTCTCCAAGAGATAAGAGGGTTGTTATTGATGACACCACCCAAGATGAGCTTTGGTGGGGAAAGTAAGTGTATATAATATTTAACTCTTTCACATATTTATGTGGAATTTTGACGTACGAAAAGATTTTAGTGCCTGCTGAATAAGACTAGAACCTAATAATTGGCGATGACAGGGGCTCACCCAACATTGAAATAAACGAGCATACCTTCATGGTGAACAGAGAAAGAGCTGTTGATTACTTGAATTCTCTCGACAAGGTGAGTTTCTTTTTTTAAAAAAAAGTCTTCTTACCTTTTTGTTCCTGTTGAGAAATATCTAAATGCATCGACGGTATCTAACCACTCAAAAAAGGATAAAAAATTGAATAAAATGCTAATAAAATAAATGGGCAATTATCTCTAAGAATAACAGTATTATTATACTTTTGGAAGATGTTGATGTGGGGAGTTTTTTTTTTTTTTTTTTGAGGAGGGGGGGGGGGGTTGGGGTTTGTCATTTACCGTCTTATGGTATCATTTTCGTCTTTTAGTCCAACAAGTTGTCCTAGGGGCACCCTAATCCATAGGGAATAGCAACTCTGTCTTTGCATGAGTAATTGTGGGGCACATGCTCTATGTTATGTCCTCCTTGCTTTGTTTTTGAGGCAGGAAGAGAATAGAATATATCTCTGTTTGATTATTTTGTGCAGTCAATTATTTAGAAACCATATATTAGATGTTATCTTCGTTATTTGTTTATTTTTTATTTCTAAAAAAGTTGTGAAAACAATGAAATTAAAATAAATGAAGAATATATAAATAGTTACTAAAATTTAACACTAATTCTAATAAAATATTAGTTCTCTATTAAACTAGAATCATGCATTTATTTGGCCTGCAGACAACCGGTCTATGCAGCTACTTGTTTATTGATCAATCTAGATGAATTCTGATTGATGGTAATTGGATGTAAATGATTTCCAGGTTTTTGTGAATGATCAATTCTTGAACTGGGATCCACAGAACCGAATCAAAGTCCGGATTGTCTCTGCTAGAGCTTATCATTCATTGTTCATGCACAACATGTAAGTAAAAGCTTAGCAACTTTGAAGTTTTATCGGCTGTTTTTGTTTGTGTTTTCACAGGTCTAAGTCTATCCCAGATAAGTCTCTTTATCGTTGTTATGATGTTAATTATATATATCCTTTAGAATTCCGTGGAGGAATAAGGTTAGAAAAAATGGTAAAAGCTTAGTGTACAATTGGGTAATTGGGTGGGTGGCAGGTGTATCCGACCCACTCTTGAAGAGCTAAAGAATTTCGGTACTCCGGACTTCACTATATACAATGCTGGACAGTTCCCGTGTAATCGTTATACACACTACATGACATCCTCTACTAGCATAGACCTTAATCTTGCTAGGAGGGAAATGGTCATCCTCGGCACTCAGTATGCCGGGGAAATGAAGAAGGGTCTTTTCAGTGTCATGCATTATCTCATGCCTAAGCGTCAAATCCTCTCCTTACATTCTGGCTGCAATATGGGGAAAGATGGAGATGTTGCCCTCTTCTTTGGACTGTCAGGTATAGTATCATCGGATCAAGGTTGCGATGCTGTGCCAGTCCCCAATCGATATGTGTCCTCTTTGTTCCTGAAGCCTTAATACCTTTGTTTTGAAAAGGCTATATGACCTTTTTATTAGCTTGGTTTTGCATTGTTACTAATGAATTTACTTCAATAATTTTCTTAATAGGTACTGGCAAGACTACTCTGTCTACTGATCACAATAGGTATCTGATTGGAGATGATGAGCACTGTTGGAGTGATAATGGTGTGTCAAACATTGAAGGCGGTTGCTATGCCAAGTGCATTGATCTTTCAGGGGAGAAGGAGCCTGATATCTGGAATGCCATTAAGTTTGGCACTGGTGAAATTCTATGTCCTCTCTGTTCCTGAATTATTTTACCTGGACTACAATCATAGTCCTCCTTCTGATCTTGTAGATTCTTTATTTCTGCAGTGTTGGAAAACGTAGTGTTTGATGAACATAAAAGACAGGTGGATTACGGGGACAAATCAGTTACAGGTATATCAAACAATCTTGGGGCCAATGGATAAGTTCAACGATGTCTGAGTCATCACGAGATATAGCCAACTTGAGTGGATGATTTTAGTTGATTATTCAGAATTTTCTTTCAGATTTATTTAATCTGATTAATCTAGTCGAAAATTATATGGAGTCAGCTCATACACTTAGCCAATTGAGTTGTTTAGACAAAGAAGATAGAAGTCAACATTAAGTTGACTTTCTCAATGCACCATTTAGTTGATGAAATTGTGAGACATTTAAGAGAAATATAAAATACCAAATAGAGGATTAGAAAATTGGAAAGAAGTAGATAATGAACATAAGCCTTCGATGCCAAATTTGTTGACTATGTGGTAGAGATTAATGACTTGTCTAAATAACCATGAATTCAGGATTGCGGAGAAATATTAATATGCAGAACATCTGGCAGTGAAGCATCTTTACACATGATCTTTAATATAATTTCTTTGCTTGCAGAGAACACTCGTGCAGCATACCCCATCGAGTACATTCCCAATGCTAAGATTCCATGCGTTGGTCCACACCCTAAGAATGTCATACTTTTGGCATGTGATGCCTTTGGTGTCCTTCCACCTGTGAGCAAGCTGAGTTTGGCACAAACCATGTATCATTTCATTAGCGGTTACACTGCTCTGGTATGTTTTATGTCCTTTTGAAAATGGTTTTCGTTGTCCTTTTCTTTTATGTTCTATGAAGCAACACTTAATTTGCTCAACAAGGCTTGGGATTCTTGCATCTTGCGACTGAACTTGGTCGATGATACATATAGGTGGCTGGCACAGAAGATGGTATTAAGGAGCCAACAGCAACATTCTCAGCTTGCTTTGGTGCAGCATTTATCATGTTGCATCCTACTAAGTATGCAGCTCTGCTTGCGGAGAAAATGCAGAAGCATGGGGCAACAGGATGGCTTGTTAACACTGGCTGGTCCGGTGGAACGTAACTCCCAGTCATTGGGAACCATATTGGAATTACATTTACACTTTACTCGGAAAAGATTAAAAGTGGTTTTTCTGCAGCTATGGCTCTGGAAAGCGTATCAAGTTACCATACACTCGAAAAATCATTGATGCCATCCACTCTGGTAGCCTCTTGAATGCAACTTACGAGAAAACTGAGGTGTTTGGACTAGAGATCCCCACTGAGATTGAGGGAGTGCCTTCAGAAATCCTGCATCCAGAGAACACTGTAAGCTGTCCATTCTTCAACTTTTCAGTGCTTAGTGTTGGTCAACATGTTTCTTTAGCAGGTTACTTGAACTTCTCTGGATTTTAACAATGTATTATGGTTTATGGATTACAGTGGACTGACAAGCAGGCATACAAGGATACACTGTTGAAATTGGGTGGCCTGTTCAAGAAGAACTTTGAGACATTCACAAACTACAAGATTGGCAAGGACAACAAGCTGACTGAGGAGATCTTAGCAGCTGGTCCAAACTTTTAACTCTGAAGCAATGAGCAAGGCAAGAAATTGCGATAGGAAGTCTCGAAAGAGGAGCAATAAGAGTGTTCTTGCTAGTAATAGAAAATGTAGCGTCCTTTATTAGGGTCCAATTCATATGTAAAATGGTTTATTATGTCAAGCCATATCCAATTTATAATTGGAGTAGTACTTTTCTTTTGGCTATGACTTTACTTCGCTGAAATAGTTAATTGTTTAAATAAAAAAGTAGCCTGCCTTCAGTTGTTGCCGGGGTTGAGTCCCTTCTAAAGCACCTTAAAAAGTGAGAAGAAGCACTTGGCCTTGGATAGTAGAATCAATCCAAAGTTAGAATTATTTGAATACTGAAACAGTTAGTACCCTTTGTCTCTATTTCCTCTTTGCTAAAGTTATTACCAATCTGTGTTTTCTTCAAAATATAAAGAAAAAAAAATTGAGCTTTTCTTTGCAGACAAAAGGCATAAGATTTGTCGTCAAATTGTATTGACACAAAGAAGACCAAAGGAAAAAAGTGTCAAAACTAGAGGCAAGCTCTTGATTCCATACACATATTTGCTTATGCCAGGGACTTAAGGATAATTATTTAAGGCTCCATTGGGAGCGTCGTGTGAGTTCTTCCACCAAGTCTGCTTAGGGAACATGATGGACCAAAGTCTGCGTTTTATGACTGGACACTCAATGAAGTCTAATTCAATCATTTCACTAGGGCATGTCCTCGAACAAAAATTCTACACCATGGAAGTTTATATACTACCGTGTTTAATAGTATGGCTTATTTTTAAGCTACAATGTAACGAACATGTATAGCAAAGCAGGGCTAAATTCAAAATAATTCTATTTTCCTGACAAAACAAGGTCGGATTCTTTAAAAACATGATATAATTCAATGAACAAGTTTCCAAGCTAGATGCATAATTTGATCATTTATGTAGGGTCGCAAAAACCACATCAGGCAATGGCTCTCTAGTTCTTCTGATAATGACTAGAGATTTAAAGAAGTAACAATCTTATCCTGCAATTGAAGGGTTATATTTTGTCACTGTTCTATAAAAGTACAAGAAAGAAAAAAATGTACCAGACTCTATCTCTAAAGAGGGAATGATTTCTCTCCATATCAAAAGTATGATAGTAAATATTGAGCAGCCCATTTACCTGCATCACACGGTCCTGCTTCACTATACTATAAATGATCCCCATCAGGGCAGCATAATCTGTCACTTCAAGTTCTCGATGATGAAATAAAGTTATTTCATCCTAAAGGAAAAAAAAAAAATTCTCAGCAAGACAGTTAACTTTCAACAGCCAATTAGCAGGCAGAAAGATGGAAAAGTATTAAAAGAAAGAAAAAGACAATAGTATAGCTCTCCTGTCTTTGAATGATCAAAATAATAACAGCTGGATATTTCTCTCGAAGAAAATAAAATATTGATACACAAAAATGTTTCTAAAATTTGAATGCCTTAGCTTTAAGCCACGCTATTCTAGTTGAATGTTTTACAGTTCATGAATAGGTCATCCAGTTCAAGGTCATTTCAATCATTAATACAGATATTTCAATTATTAAAGTGTTGCCAGCATGATGACACTGGGAAATAACAAATCTGCAAACAATTTTGGTTCAGTGTATGTGCTGAAATCGGTAATCATTACATAGAAATCTGCTGTAAAGTCTAAATAGAAAGGGATTTAAGTATGAAGGGCAAGAAGGAAGACTCTATTTGCAGCAGGCAAAGACTTAAATACTCATGGGTCAAAGAAAGAAAAAATAACAATCACTGATATTTCCTAAGCGGGTAAAATGAAAATGTACCTGCACTGAGTGAAAAATGCATAGAGTAAAAAAACAATAAATCATGTCTTTCACAATGAATAGAAAGAGAGAAGCATAAAACCTACTTCACCACTACTTTCTTGTAGGTCTAGTCCATTGACAGATTCCTTGTCGAACAAAGGAGATAAATGTTCATTAGCAGTTTGCAATGCAGCTGTGGCATCCTCCAAGAGGCATTCGAGATCATTTAGTAAGCTTTTGACTGCACTCCGTAAGTTGTTACTTAAAACATAATAGTTTCAATAATCACCTCATAAAACACAAACTAAGAAAATTGTAAACATTTATCCTTCAGAAACATATTAACTAGATAAAAGTACAGATATAGTAAAATTGCATAAAGAATATTACCTTTAATTAAATGATCATGTAGTCCAAGTAGGCATGTGCGTACTTCTGATATGAAAGGCCATTCCATAAGAACAAAAACCATATGAAACAAGCAGAATAAGAAGGGTCCATACAAGGTAAATTACTACTGATTCACTGGAAGGAAGCATGTGATACATAATCTGAAGTTTGATTTCTACAGACGAAAGTGCTAAGTCACTTACCTTATAGTCATATTAACGAATTATGGTATGAAACAGTTTGACAGAAGGTGGTAGGTACCCACTATTTCCAGGTATCAACCAAAAATGCTTTATCTTTGAAGAATAAAAGTACTTACACTTGTTCATGTTTTGCACGCTGTCATGACTCTTACTACAACCAGTTTCAAGGTATGACTTTAACCTCTTTGTTTCATTGGCTTTAATAATGTTCTCAATCAACTTAGATGTCATGTTTATTGGAGGACGTCAAAGAAAATCTGCAAGGATCAGAGAATTGATAAAACATTATCCTTAAAGGAAACTAGTGAGGGCACCATCCTAGCAATTTGCAATGAATAAGAAAAGATATACCGGTTCCAAAGCACTGACTTAGTCCTTGCTGGAAGCCAGTAAGTAGTCTGCCTCCAACCGCCACTAATTCATCAAACTTTGCCACCCTGCAATGTCCAGAACCACCATTTAGCAATTCCATGAAAACCCAACACTTCATAATTTCAAATTTCCATAGACAACGAAAATGCTTATTAAATATGAGGATCAACTCCATGCCAAAGTGCCCATATAAATTATTCTAAAGCAAACTTAGGAATGAACAATAGCAAAATTCATAAAAAATAATTTATATATTTTTTTATGTTTATTTTATAAAAAATTGATTGGTCAATAAAAAAATAATTTATCGATTAATAAAAATAAAATTATTTTTTAAAATTTATTTTATGAATTAAAAAAATATTTTCTAAAAAATGCTATTTATTAATAAAAATATTTATCAAAATTTTAAACATAATTTTATTTATAAATAATATTATATTAATAAATATATAATAATATAATATATTTAATAATAATAGTATATAAATAAATATATATTATTAATGAATAATATTAATAAATAATATTAAGAAATAATATTATAATATATTAATAAATAATATAAAGAATAATAAATAATTTATTTAAAGTTTTTTATATTAAAATAATATTTTAATATTAAATATTATTATTAAAATATAATTATTTTTGAATATTAATAATTTTAATAATAAATAATTTTAATATATTTCAATAATAAATAATTTTTAAAATTTTAAAAATTTATATTAATATTATTTTAAAAAATAAATTTAAAAAAATCAAATAAAGAAAAATATTTTTTTTATTAATCCACTCAAATAAAAATTTTTAAAATAAAAAATATAAATATTTTTTAAAAATTATTTTTTGCAAAACAAAATGAGCCTAAAGCACAGTTATCTTTTCCCATTTCAATTTGGACTTGACCGAGTCAACTCAGATTCACTCACGAACTCGGAAAACTGAAGTGTCCCAGTGTACCTTATACTTAAAAGCCTACGATAGAATCAATATTTAAACTTATCTTCTCAAATTTCTCCCTTAATAGCTCTGAAGATCGAAGATTTGTGATTCGTAGAGCCTAAGTCTCGCTCTTTCAAAGTGCTGATTGAGGATTTTACCTTGATTTCGTTGATTTTCGATTCAATTTCAGTTATTCTTTGCCGATTCTATTAGATCTATGAATTTCGATTCCGTATTTTTTGGGGTTTTATACTCTTTTCAAAACGAGTTGGTTGGGGTAAACAAATAGGTGTTACCGTAGTTGGTTGATACTAAACCTGATTTTGACAAATTCGTTTGGACTTTGCTTAACTTTGTTGTAATCAGCTCTGTTTCTGTAGAAAATTAGATTTTTTTTTTTTGCATTTTTGCTGCAAATTTTCTTTCAGATTTCATTCCTTTTTGTTCAATCATTAATCTTTTTTTTCTTATTGATTCAGGTTTCCAGTATTTTTTTTTATTGGTTCTTGTCTGATAAGATTATTCCAGACAATAAGTATTAGAATTGTTGTTTATCCAACGATCATTGTCAGCAATGGGGGTATATGATACATAGGTAAGTTGTTTATTATCCATCATGTAAAGCAAAGAAAATAAATTTACTACTAACCTGATAGAAAAGGATATGCGTAAGGGTTGCTGTATATGCAACTTTTTATTACTAGTCTGCATGATGGGAAATATAGACCAAGGGTTGTTTAGTGTGGGATTTTTGCTATTATAGACCAAGGGTTTTTGAGTGTGACATTTTGCTGTTAAAGATTTTTTTTAATCCTGCTGGTTTTTCCTATCCAGGAAGTTGAAGATTATGATAATTACGACATGGAAGAGGAATATCAAGAAGAAGATGTTGAGGAGGATGAGGGGGATGAATATGAAGAAGAGGAAGCTAGACAGCCTACACAAGAAGAAGTGGAATATCTGGAGTTAAGGCAGTGGCTGAAAGACTATTAGAGAAAGAGAAAACAAAGTGGTGCAGGTCTTTCTTCTCAAGAGGAAGAGAAGATGTGTTTCTTTTTTTTGAACCATTTGCCATTAGTAAAGATCTATGACACTTGGACGCATTTCTGGATTCAAGGTTAAATGCACATACAGATGCTTTTCTTCTATATTTTCATAGCATTAATTATTATAATTAAGTCTAAATGTTGTCTTCCCGCAGATTTGGATCCTTTTTTGGCCCCTCTCAGCCAGTTATTGCCCAAAGAGTTATCCAAGAGAGCAAGTCATTATTAGAAAAACAGATTTTGGTTTATAAGATGTTGAGTTCCAATCAATCTGTAAGTATCACTTGACTTTCTTTATTTATTTATTTTTTTTGTTCTTATGCTGAGTCCTTGTTGTATATATCATCTGTGTTTAATGCTAGTGATATGCATGTTTATGCAAACACCAATATGATGAACACAGTGAGCTCACTGTGGTTGTCACTTGTTCCATTGGATACTGCTATAACTTTTACTGTTTAAAAAGCTGCATAAGTTTTGAAACTGAAAAAAATCACGTTTCCTTTGTAGTATGCGTGCCTAGTGTTTGGAGAATTGAGTCAGGTTTTGGTATTTGCAAAGAGATGCCTCTCAAGACCAATCCTGCATCCATTTTGTAAATGCCCATGATGTTAGTTGTTAATATAATTTCTTTTCTAAGATTTATTCCTAATAATGGTTTATCTATAAATAAAATAAATGAAGAATTTTGTAATATTTGAAGTAGAAGCCATATAGTAGCTCCCATGTCATTTTGTAGTTTAGATTCTGATTTTTTTTTTTGAAAAATTGCAGATTGAATATATTTGAATATATTCCAAGCTATATTTGGTCTTTGAATATCTTGTGTTGACAACCTTGTGATTTCTTGTAGAGTAAAAAGAACTCTGCTTCAAACAGTGTTGGATCAAAGCTTGGACAACGTGGTGAGGCTCCCAAAGCTACAAGTGAGGTATTACCCTGAGCACTTCTAATTTGTTCTTATGTTTGAAAGACCTCTGGTCTGTGATAATGAATGTTTTCAATTACTGAACTTGTGCAGCTCAGAAAGAAAGTTGAGAAACTTAAGGTTGCAAGAGATTACTCCTTCTATCAGATGATGCAGAAGTTCCAGCTCCTGCAAAAGAGTCTTCACCTCAATATGTTTTTGTTCCAACCTCTGGTATGTTACTACTTCACTGCATCAAATCTTTTTTTTTTTTTTAAATCTGTGAAGCTTAAAACATAGATCACTTATACAAGTTTTTCACTGATTTTCGGCTCAAATGCCGCAAAAATGCAAACAACCATTGGGCAGCAACAGCGATAGTGGTAGAAATGTTCAAGGCATCCGTGAAGAAAGGAAATCAGTTCCTTTGAATGGTCAAATTAGGGATGGCTTCGGGTTGGGTTCGGGGTGGGTTTTGCTCGCCCCGAACCCGACCCGAATTTTTCAATACCTGAACCCGACACGACCCGATACTATGTAAATCGTACCCGATCCGACCCGAAATTAATAAAATATTATTTTTTAAAGTATAAAATATTATTTTTTAAATATAAATATTTAAAAATATCATTATATAAATATATATAAATAAATAATTAATTAATTAAAAAATAATTTTTTAATAATGTCGGGTCGGGTAGGGTCGGGTTTTAGGCATACCCGAACCCGACCCAACCCCGATTGTTACCTAATTTACCTGACCCGAAACTTGAAATTCAAAAAAAAAAAAACCCGACCCTATAGGATCGGGTCAAGTCGAAACCCGTCGGGGACGGGCTTGATTGCCGTCCCTAGGTCAAATGCTTGCTAAAACTGGTTTCTACAAGTCTTCTTCCGCTAGTAAACCAAATGTGATAGTCAATGGATTCAAAAAGCAACTTGGTGTTAACAATGGTATTGGGCCTGACTTGCCTGTTGGTCTTAGCAATGGTACTGGTACTGGGCCTGGGCAGCCTGTTTTTGTTGGCAATGGTGTTAAAAATGGTATTGGGCCTGGGCGGCCTGCTGGTGTTAAGAAGCATATCGGGTCTGGGTGGCCTGCTGGGCCTAAAGCTGTGCCTTCAAGGATGCCTATTGCAAAGATGGAGAAGAAGATTTCTGCACCAGCTGCTAGGAAATCTCCCACCTATTGCGCGCAAAGCATTCCCTTCAAAGATGCACTAATCTGATTCAAGACAGCACTTAGAACTGAAAAAGGGATCACAAGAGCGTTATAAAGATAAAATTGTGCCCCAAAAGCCTGTGATATCGTCAAAGCCACAGGTTTTAGTCTTACACAAATGCTTATGCTTCCGCTTCTGTAGGTATTTTTAGAATTAACCTTTTAGTTTTTATTTACATCCTTTTCTGAAATTTATACAGGTAAACAAGCCAGTCAAGCAAGTCTCATCTCACTTGTGTACTACGTCAAATGTTCAGTGACCCAAGAAAAAACAATTAAGTGAAGATGAAAAGGCTCCAATGATGATCAGAAACATGTTCCAGTAAGGCCTCTCTCTTTTATGCTTCTGCCTTCTTGCCCTTTTGTTGAAACCTTATGTTTTTAATTCTTCTTTCTTATTATTACTGTTCAGAAGAGATTGAAAAATACACTAGCCAAGTTGCTATTTGCAGCATATATGAAATGGGCTTTGGATTTTTCTTTAGCATATAATTGAATGAAATAGATGTAGATTGGCTTTCTTTTAGGTTCTTGGGCAGTGGAGAAAATAACTTTCCTGTTTCTTTCAGTATTTGATTTGGACGGTTCAAAAGTTTATGGTTCTTATGATACTTTTGACGCTGTTGCAGCACTGAATGATGATGATGATGATGATGATGGAGGCAAACTGGGATGAGATTATGGCGTAGGAAAGGAGGAGGTTAGTAAAATTTCTCAATTCTAGGAATATTATTATGCAAAGCATTTGCATGTAGAGAACTGTCACAAGGAACTCTCAAGGATATAAATGTTTAAAGGTGCATGAAACACCTAATTCCCTGCATTTATTATATATTTGCTTTTATTTTTTTTTATTACAGTGCTAAAATTGCAAGGAAGAAGGATGAAGAACAGTTGAAGCTGATAGAGGAAGAAGAGCGGCGGGAGCGGATGAGGAGGCTGGCCAAGAAGCGCAAGCTGAGCCAGCACTGATTGTGTATCCAGGATTCACAATGTGGGCAAGACTGAAGTGGAAGTCTTGAGAAATTTTTTTTGTAGCATTATTTATCCAAGTTTAAAGAATGTTTTTATTTTGTCCCTATTGAAATTTACTTAGTTTTATTATTAATAATACATTTGTTTTTGGTTGAGAAAGAAAGTAGTTTTTTTTTTTATTCGAAGAAAGAAAGAGTTAATAATTTAATGTTACATAATGCATAAAAGTGTTCCTTCTTGTAGGTTTTTTTTTTTTTTTTTTTAAACTTAAAATCATGAGCAATATTATTATTTTATAAAGACAAAAATATTATTCTTTTTATCTTAAAATGTTTGTAGTATATTAAATTTAACAAAAATTAAAAATTTTTTAATTTTAATATATTTAATATTAAATTTTTTATAAAATTAAACTTTCATAATTTTTAATATCAAAAAATAAATAAATTTAAAAAATAAATTATAAAATATAAAAAAATAAAAATTTTGGATGTTAAAAATATATATAATTTTGAAAATCTTTAGAAAAAGGAGAGAGAGAGAAGGAGTATATATATATATATATATATATATATTACATTTTAATCATGATGATATATTAGCAAAAAAAAATAAAAATCATGATGATAGAGGTAACTATGTTTAATAATTTCTTTTGATGCAGTTCAATTATGTAAGTTTGAAAGTAAAAATATTATTAAAGATAATTTTTTGATAAAATTTTTACAAAAAAATTAACTAATAAAAGTAATTGACTATGATTTTAGGAAAGATTAAAAAATAGTTTGATGAAATTTTATATAAATTTTTAAAGAAATAATTAAAATATCTTTAATTTTAGGTGATGAAATCTTAGCTATACTCTCCGTCATCCAGTCGGATTGGAGCGGATGAAACAAAAAGATTAAGAACCTTTTTTCATCAAAACTCTCTTACAACTCACAGCAACCTAAGATCATCAATGGTTAAATATCGTTATTTATAAATAAAACGAAAAAAAAAAAAGATGAAGAAGAAAAAAACAGATGGGTTGCGTTGAAACAGAAGCAGGCATGATTGCGTAACCAACGAAACAAAAAGAGTAGTAAGGGTCAATCAATTTGTTATTTTCCAAAAAAATTATAAATAAAATATTGTTTTATGGCGTCACCTTCCTCAACTCCTCCAAAAGAAGAGGAAAAGGAAGGCTCAGCTCAACAAATCAAACCTTCAACCAGAAGAAATGGTTCCTTCCTCCTCCACCAAGGATCCTCCTCCCACTCCTTCCTGGTTCACTCCCAAACGGTAAAATACCAAAAAAAAAAAGAAAGAAAAATCAACTTTAACTTGTCCTCTTTCCTTTTTTTTTTTTTGGATGATTTGTTATTGAACTGTTTTATCTGGAAATTCTACTCGTATTTTACTGTTTTTTCTGAATATTTATTGCATACCGTGGCTGATTCTAACTGCAATTAGGGTTTATAAGAAAAATTAAGGTGAAGATGGAACTTTCTGTCGACTTTTTTTTTTTGGATAGAGATGATAATTCCTTATATATATATTTTGTTTTTGTAGGTTATTGATTATATTTTGTGTTATTAACATGATAAATTATGTGGATCGAGGAGCAATAGCGAGTAATGGTGTTAATGGGAGTATTAGGATTTGTGATGACAGGGGAATTTGCACTTCCGGTAGTGGAATTCAGTAAGATTTTTACTCCAAGCGATTCATGTAAAATTCAACTGTCATAAAAATGTTTGTTATTACTTTTAATTGTCTTACTGAAAGATGTTTGCTTGCAGGGGGGAATTTGACTTAACTAATTTCCAAGATGGTCTCTTATCGTCTGCATTCATGGTTGGACTCCTCGCGGCATCCCCAATATTTGCTTCCTTGGCAAAGAGGTGATTACCTTTGATGGTTATTTTCTTTTTTACTTGTCAAAAGTTTGAAGTTTTCCGAAGTGGCATTCTGGTAGTACATTTGCCTGTTAAATACTAAATGAAATCAGCATTAATTTTCAGGGTTCATCATTTTCATGTTGTAGTTATTGCAGTATATTTGGCATTTAATTACATGTCAATTTGGTTTAATGATGTTATTTGATTTCTATGATTGCAGTCACAACCCTTTTAGGCTTATTGGAGTTGGATTATCTGTTTGGACATTGGCTGCAGCTGGATGTGGTAGTGCATTTTCCTTTTGGTTTATTGCAATATGCCGCATGTAAGTTTTACAATCGCAATACTCTCTGAGAGTTGGTTGTAGTTCAATTATTACTTCATTAATTTCTTATGCTACCTATGTTATTTTCTTGTTAATTGTGGCTGGGTCTTGATGGTTTAGGCTGGTTGGTGTTGGAGAAGCTTCTTTCATAAGTCTTGCTGCTCCATTTATTGATGACAATGCTCCTGTTTCTCAGGTTCATTTATTTTATTTCTTTTTTAACTTTAAAACTTAGTGCTACATGAACTATCTATCCTCCTGCCCAGACTACACAATCATGCTAATTCTCTGTCATAGTCCAGAAAACAGCCTGGCTTGCAATGTTTTATATGTGCATACCTACTGGAGTTGCTCTTGGATATGTTTATGGTGGATTCGTAAGTTCATATATCCCTTTCTTTCTTTCTCACTTTATGTATCGGTTTTATGTTAAGGATATGATTTATGCTCCTAGATCAAATCTCTTGGTGGGGCCGCTCTGTACTGTCTAGACGTGTGGTGGATGTTTGATGATTAATCAAAAATTCTGTTTGCTGGTCAATGTTACATATAGGTTGGGGGCCATTTTCACTGGCGCTATGCATTCTGGGGAGAGGCATTGTTGATGCTTCCATTTGCTGTTTTTGGCTTCGTGGTGAAACCTTTGCAGTTGAAAGGTAACTGTTTTGATGTGTCATCTGCACTCCAGAGATTTTTATTTATGATCCCACAACAATTTAATTATTGAATATTACTGAACTTTGAACCATAGGATTTTGTTCTGTTGAATCAAAAAAAGCATTGACATCTGTGGAGACAGTTTCTGCTGTAACTGACGGTACATGTTCTTTATCATTCTTCTTGTATTAATTTGTTATTGGCTTCACTATTTAGTGAGAAGTTTCTTTCAATTTTGGGGTGCTAACTGCTAAGTACATGCTGTGTATGCATGCGTGTCATAAGTAAAAGGTTTGAATGAGACTGGACAGACTACAAAGAAAGAGTTAGGTCCTCCCCTTAGTAAGTCTAACCTATTCTACTCGCAGATTCAGATGCATCAAAGCTAGATGGCCGGATCTTGGTTGGAGGTGATGGTGTAATTGCTGATGAATTGAATAAAACTTCCAAGTGAGTGGTTCTTCAACCCATGGTTTTTATTAAATCTCTGATTAGTTTATCTGCATCACTGTTTCTTGTGATGGGGCAAACTGCTTCAAAACAATGTTTACTTACAGATCTTTGCAATTAGAAATTTTACTAAAGGGAGAGGAGTAATCAAATAGGAAAGATTTAAAAGGAATTTTAATACATGGAGAATTAGGATTCCAATTGTATTAAGAATGTTAGACACATTGGGGCCACCACCCTGTTCCGTACTGTACCCCTCATCCTTGTCAATAGTCTCTAGTCAGAAAGTGGAAATGACTGCTATGAATAGGGAGCTAATGTAGAGTTGGGTACATGGAAAAGTTAAAATATGAATAGGTAATAACCTATTGGTAAGGAGTCCTTAATCTATGATATCCTGTCACTTGGCAGCAGGGAATGGACTGATATCCAATGTAATTGTGAAAGTGGGTCGTGTATCTTTGGTTGAAATAATTGTATCTCATCTTGTTTTAGTGATGTTAAAAACAAACCTCAACTAGGATTTAATTTTGCAGATGCACAAAAATTTTTGCTGCATACTTCATTTGTTTCTTATCCTGATGGTTCCTCTTTCCTTTGGCAGGTCAGTAGGCATACACAACATATTGAACCAGTTCTCTCCGTTTGCAAAAGACGTGAAAGTGCTTTTGGTGGACCAAGTTTATGTTATAAATGTTTTTGGTATTTTCTTGACCCTTTTCACATCCGGTGGAAGTAATGCTCTGAGAGAAAAAAAAAACCGATATAATACTATATGATTTTTTTTTTTTTCAATTTTAGGTAAAAATTTTGCATATCAAATATTGCTTGTGGATATTTCTGAGACAATCTATAAAAATGTGATTGTTTCTTTTCTAATAAATTCATTGTAGCCAAGCTTGTATTTATTACATATTAGTTTACTTTGGCTTGTGAAGTATTGCTTAACTGACATTTTGGCTTGCAGGTTACATAGCATACAACTTTGTCATTGGTGCATACTCATATTGGGGGCCAAAGGCTGGTTATAATATTTATCATATGGTAAAGTTTCTGCCAAGTTACATGCACTTTGGTTTCTATCAAAATCTTTTCCTTTTAGCATTTTCTTTTTGACATCACAGAGAATCATAATTGGCCCTTGTTTGGTGCTGTACTTATTTAAAATGTGATTTTTGCAGAAGAGTGCAGATATGATGTTTGGAGGGATTACAATTGTTTGTGGGATTTTAGGAACAATATCTGGCGGCCTCATCCTTGATCGCATGAGTGCAACAATATCTAATGCTTTTATAGTGAGTTTTGTTTCTTTTTGAAGTTTTATGTGAATGCTTTCTTTTGCAATCCTTATCGGAACAGAAAAAAATATTAGTCACTTTATTTAATTTGGATAGGAGAAATAAGTTGATAAAAAGTGGAGAGGTTTTCAGAGAAAAACTAAAAGTGCTATTCTTTGTTATTTTGCCTAAAACAGCCTCTGATGTAATAAACAAAAGAAGGACATAGGTTTTGTTAATGTAAAATCACCTCTCTCACTATTACTTCTCTAAATCTAAACAAGTAAAGAAAAATTTCAAACACACTGCAAAGAATAAAAAACAAAAAAAATCATAGCGAGTTAGCCAGCAAACAGACAAAGACAGACCGATGTATTGTGATTTGGATAAAATTGAGTTAGCTTCTATTCTAATTCCAGATGAAACTAACTATTAGCTGTAGTCTGTAAATTTATATTCTGAAATTCTCTTTTTTGTTGCTGTTTATTGCAGTATTTGATGGCTTACTTTGCTTCTTTAACAGCTTCTTTCAGGTGCAACATTTCTGGGTGCGATATTTTGCTTTGTTGCTTTCTGTCTCAGGAGCTTGTATGGTTTCATTGTTCTTTTCGCAGTGGGTGAATTACTTGTTTTTGCAACGCAGGTAAAATGAAAATGGAGTGTTAGATTTATGATCTTATTTTTCGCCAAATTATTATGTACTTGTATTTCTACAGGTGTAGGAATTCTCTCTCTCTCTCTCTCTCTTCCTTTTTCAATTATGTTCATTTGATAGAAGATTTGGAAGAAGATTTAATTAGAAGTTATGCCATGAGTTTTACCCACTTTTTTCAGAGCAGCTATAGCTTCTTAGTTTATAGAAATTGAACTGCATTTTCATATTTTCAGTTTGATAATAAAAAGGGCTTTCCTGGTCCACATTTGTGCCTTCTAGTCAATACACTGGTGCTGGAGTAATATTTATTATTTTGGACCAGTATTATCATGAAATATTTAACCAAATATGCTGTTTTAGTAATCTCACTTTCCCAACAAACATTGAATTTGCAGGCTCCTGTGAATTACGTGTGTCTCCATTGTGTCAAACCGAGTTTGAGACCATTATCTATGGCCATCTCTACTGTCTCAATTCACATCTTTGGGGATGTGCCTTCCTCACCGCTTGTTGGGGTTCTCCAGGTTCATTAACTTACTCTGAGCTTGTATAGGCACATGTGTTTTAATGTGGTGGATTTACTCTGAAAAAAAAAAAGACTTCCAACTCGATTACTGTGGATACATTGATCTTGGTCAATGTAGCATGCCTTGCAATTGTCCTATAAATTTTTGGGGGAAATAATACACAAATATCTTGTCAAAGAATTGCCAAAAGTACTATTAACTGCTAAAAGTTTTAGGTTGAAAATTTGATTGTTGAACCTCGCATAAATTTCATTGTTGAGTGAATTAAATGAAATTATAGTATGTTATATAGTGACATTGCAAGTTATTTATTTAAACAGTTTCTGGAAAACAAATTTGCCCATTGCTGATGAACTGTTCTGTTCTGTTAAATAGCAAACCCTTTATATTTGCCTTATTACCTAACTTCTATCTCTAATCCATAATGTTGTAGAATCACTTCACAAGTATTTGACGCAAGATTGTGAATATACTTGCATTTCTTTCAATCGAGGCTCTTATGAATTATGATATGTCTATGCAACCTCAACCAATCTATTTTCAAATTTTTTATAGCATCATTATGACAGGTGATGTTTTGAGCAGGATCATGTTAACAATTGGAGGGAAACTGCACTTGTTCTGACCTCTATATTCTTTCTTGCTGCTGGAATATGGTTTATAGGTAAGTAATAATAAGTTTGTGATAATGTTTCCGGGAAAAGATCTGATGATCAATTCTTTTCTTTTTTTTTTTTTTTCAAATTACTGAAGCCTCCTTTAAGCATGCCTATGTACTTAAAGCTACAAACAGTGCATAACTTGTCCAAAGGAGACCGATTAACAAAATATTCCCATTTGTTACTGGATTAAGAGTTATGATTCGTTCATAGTGGTCGGCCAGCATCTTATCTGAGAAATTAAGCATGATGCAACTATTTTTCCTTGTGATCTCAGGGCTGAAATTTTTTTCCTGGGAATTTTTACCAGTTTAGGATAGAACATTCTTTGATTCGTATGCTATACTGAAAATCGGGATGCGGCATAACTGCCTGATGAAAAGCTGAACCTTTTCCTACATCATAGTTACTTTTTAACGAAGATTTTATTATTGTTGTTCTTTAACAGGTGTTTTCCTGCCTAGTGTGGACAAGTCTAATGATGAAAGTGAAAGTCAAGTCTCTACAATCACAACAGCCAATAGGAAGCCATTGCTTGATGGAAATGGGGATGAGAGTTTTGGTGAAGTCTAAGTTCAAATCTACGTGCTGCAAAAAAAATTTTGCACGCTCACAAATGTAAATAAAATTTTTAGTTTTATTGCATCTGTTTTTCCCAGTTGTAGAAGCTTACAATTTTGTTTAGGTTAGTTTTATTGAGGAAGTCTCTTATATCAGTTGTGGGAGTGAAAAGACAGAAATTTGGTGTCATTTTTTTGTTACGAAGGTCGCCCTGAGTAAATGAAAATGAATTACATATGTTGGGATTTGAATCTCATATTTGTTGAATGTTATTATTATTATTATTTTGTTTTGAATTTAATCATTTGTAGATATATCAATTAGTTTCTAATTGCATACTATTGATAAAATGTTATAGTATATTTAATTCCCATTTATGAGTGTTTTATTTTTTGCAAATAACAAATAATAAATTTATGAATTTTTATTATTTTTGGATAATTTTCTTTTGTTACTATCAGATAATGATGATGTTAAATTGTTAATGTATAATGTTGCGTTGACCCCAAAATTACAATTACTTGGAAGTTTTGTGTAGAAAAATTATTAGAGATGTGGCTTCGTGCCTGCATGCACAAAATTAATAAATTATTATGTCCCAAATAAGTACACAATGATTATGCAATATGGTATCAATTGCACGATTATGCAATATTATTATGCACAATATGGTATCATACTCTATAAAATAAAATAAAACGTTTATATCAGGCGAATAAACTAAAATTTATTTCCCATCAAAATAATGTCCCATTGCAATCTAACGTGCATACATATTAATCAACATGTATTCTTTTTCTCACAATAGAAAAATACATATTCTGCTAAGCTGGAAAGTGTCCAAACTCCGTATTCATGGTTATGTTTGGACTAAATGTTTATAATAATAATAAGATCGTTAACTTACGCACTTGCTTCCTCGTCAACTTCTTGTTTTGAAATCTTTCTTTCCCTCTTCATCCTATACGTTCACAGGGCATTCATTTTTCTTTCTACGCTGCATCAACTTCATTTACACCGCGAAACACTGAATCTTTTCTCCAAACGCGTCTCTTCTCCCCCCACTAATTTTTCCTCTTTAGTTTTTCCTTTTAATGGCAATACCTTAATATAATGAGAAATATTAAAAAAAAAATACTAATTTGTTTTTTTTTTTCTTTCCCCAAAAAAGAACAGTGAAGAAATACATTCACAAAATCCTCGCTTCTTTTTTTTTTATTTTTTTGAATTTCCACTGAAATTTAAGGTTTTTTAGCGACGAAATTTGCTATAGCTCAGGATTGTAGAAAGATATGCTTTCGATTAAGTTCTGAAATCCATAAAAAAAATGCCGACGATTAGAGTTCCGGCTAAGAAGAAAACTACGACGTTGACAATTAGTTTTGTCTTGTTTACACTTAAATTTACCGTTCATTTTGTTGATTTTTCACGGCTTTCATTTCCTCATGATCTTAGCTTTTTTAAAAATTTTTTTTTTTACAGGTTGCTGTAAAATGTAGATCATTAACTGACAGAGAGCGCAGTCGTGACATTGTTAGAGTAAAAAACCATAAGGTAAGCAGTCAAATTCTTCTTTCTTTTTTTTTTTTTTCTAATTTTGATTTGAAAATGTGAAAATGAGAAAGTTTTGACATTGAAGGAGGTGGTAGTGTTAGATCCGGACTTATCAAAGGATTATTTGGATCGCATTCAGAATTGAACCAAAGAGAAAAATTATTGTTTCGATCACGCCTTTGGTCCTCACTGTACAAATTTGGTATTTGAAAAGTATTTTTTTAATAGTAAATTTCCTTTTTGAAGCTTGATGCTTGAAAGCTTTGTAATTTTTGTAAATGGAAAATTTGAACTTACAATTTGGAATTTTGAATTTGAAACAAGAAGTGCAGATTTAAATTTAGTATAAATTGTGTGATAGATCATAAACACATGGTTTTTCATAATTGCGACTCAAATCTATGAATTTATTAAGTATATGTTACTATATATTATTTTCATAGTGTTTGTGAAAAACCAAATCCAAACTCACTCTCCCAAGTATATGTTTCCAAACGGAGACTATTTTAGAGGGGACGCAGTTTGTAAAGAAAAGGAAAAGAAAACCGAATTATGAGAAAATGATTGTCCTTTTTGTTTGCTATGTAATTTCTGGTACTTTCTTTTGGCTGCAACTGCAATGTACGATTGTGTGCTCATTTGCGATTTTGTGAAAAAGGTTAAGTTGCTAGGTTAGTTTTATATTCAAATTATAGTGTTTTTCACTGAACCATAGTGAAAAATAATTGGTTTAAGTTGCAATTTCTATTTTCTGTATTTAACAGAAGGCTGTTCCAAGTACTCACTTTCCAATTTTGTTTTATCATGATCTTTTTATCTAACTTGGTTTTATATATACAGGATGCCTACCAAAAATGTATATCTACTATAATCTGGGTCTTATGGTTCAACTGGAAGGTAACAAAACGATGTATTGGCATTGCTATATTCTCATAATTAGCTAATTATCACTGCAATAAATTTCCTAGAGAACAAAAGATTTTGCCCAAGAATTTTTTTTTGCTAATTTGGTCAGGGTGTCCAGAGGCTTTGCCTCGTCCTAATCCCCTCCCTGGTTGATCATTTTGCACAAGAAGTTATCAACCTAAAACTTTCCCCAAAACAATTCTTGAGTTTGCATAATTTTCTGAAGCTTATCTCTAGAGATTTTTGCAGATATGTATCAGACTTCAATTATAAAAGTTTGACTATGTTGTGCATTTGCAGTGATAAAACATATACAATGGTTGGGACACAACATGATCCTGGACTCATGGTTCTCAGTCTGCACACAATTTTTGATCTCATTAAAAGGGACAAGAGCTTTGATGAATTTGAAGTTACTTGTTCCTACCTTGAAGTCTACAATGAAGTAGAGAATAAACTTTTACCAAGAAACCTATGGCCTTCCCATAGTATATTTAATTATTATTTTTTGTTATATATGTTATTGAATTTTCAATTTCTAATGTTTTAAGGTTATCTATGATTTACTCAAAAAATCATCTTGTTCTTTGGAGCTTAGAGAGGATCCTGAGCTAGGAATAATTGTTGCTGGGCTAAGATGTATTAAGGTTCAGCCTCTTATCTCTCGATTTCAAGCTACTAAACTGAATATATTAAATCTGAGTGTTGTTTGGAATGCTAAATGTTGATTTCTATCTATACATTATAGTTGGTCATTGTTTATCAAAGTTGGAAAAGGGTCTACACAATACATTTGAAGGACCTTTCTTTTCCTTCTTTTTTAAAGAAATTTTAATCAGACAGTGTATTAAGTAATTTGTCTATAGTTAAGCTTTAGAAATGATTTTTTATATCCTTTTGTTCTTTATTGATGGAAAGAAATCTATTTTGTTCTTAAATTTAAGTGTGAACTATTTTATTTCTTAAGTTTAAATATAATCAATAGAATCCAATAATAAAGTATAACTAATAAAAAGAAGCTGCAGTCATGTTGTAGTGTCAAATATATTTTTAATCATTCATTAATTTAGTGAGAAGAGGATGCTAATTTCCTGTGAGAAGTGAATTAATATCTTTTGTTTCACATGATATCTAATTGGTTCTCTATTGTGGTAGTGATTCAATATGGCTTTACTAGGTTTGGTTTGAATTCGTGGCATTTTAGGGTGCCTAACACTACAAAAATGACTTTTCTCATCTGTTTTGAGTTCATATTAAGGTTACTTTTTGTGTGATGCGTCATTGAACTATTGGCCCATGCAATTGCCTGAATTGAATTTTTGTCATATAAAGTGGGGGCTTAGCTACCGCTATTTTGTAACTCTTCCCCTCAAAAGATAAAAGACTAAGAATCCAACAACCTAGGATCACATGCAGTTTTATGGTTTATATTTTTATTAAATAGACTTTTTGTAATCTTTTGTGGATGAAATTTATATATTTGAAATTTTCCTCCATATAAATCATTGGTGTTCCAACTTTATATTCTTTTATCAATCAATGTTCTAGTCTGTGGGTGAGTGCCAAGCTCTTGATGCTTAATGGTCTTTGGTGGTTTCTTCCTCATCAGCTTCATTCGGCTGATAAGATTCTTGAACTTCTAAATTTGGGTAATAGTCGAAGGAAAACAGAAAGCACAGAGGCTAATGCGACATCATCAAGGTGAGTAAGCATTAGTTTCAGTCTCACTTTTGTAAAAGATGTGTTATTCCTATTTATTTTGGATTTTCTCTAATGTTGCTTATTTTCATATTTGTTCTCACTTTTGGATGTTCTAAATCATATATAGAATTCCTTTACAAAAATTGTATTATATTTTCTTGGAGCCCTCACAATGTGTTGTAACCTTTGCATGATCTCATACAAAGTTGTCTTCATCCTACTAGATCACATGCAGTTCTGGAGATTACTGTGACAAGAAAATGGAGAAACAAATATAAAAATCAAGTCATGCAAGGAAAACTTGCACTTGTGGATCTTGCTGGCAGTGAACGAGCTTCAGAAACAAACAGTGGGGGCCAAAAGCTGATGGATGGAGCTAACATTAATCGTTCACTTCTTGCTTTGGCGAACTGCATCAATGCTCTGGGGAAACAGCATAAGAAGGGTCTTGTCTATGTTCCATACCGCAATAGGTATATGTTAGTGGCTATTGTAGCTATGGTAGCCTGAGTGCATTTTGCTTATGCAGCTATTGGTAATTTTGCAGTATAACTAACGAGGATGCTTAAAGATGGTCTGAGTGGTAATTCTCACACAGTGATGGTTGCTACAATGTCTCCAGCAGATAGTCAATATCATCACACTGTGAATACCTGAAACATGCAGACAGGGCAAAGGAAATACAGACGCACATCCAGGTGAGGCTGAATATACCTTTTGGGAAGACATTATTCATACCTCCCAAGAACATAAGATTTTGAATTTTTCATTAACTCCTTTATGTTTATGCTTGTAATTCCTTTTAACTCCTTTTCTATGATAGATTATGCATCACATTTTTTTCCCATTTTTCTTGCTTTATTTGCCTTTTCTTCCCCCTCAAGTCAAGAGCAGTAAGTTCTTTTATTATGCTGTATTTTCAAGTGCCTCGTTTATCTTTTGTTTTTTCAGAAAAATATTGGTACAATCGATACGCATGTATCAGATTACCAGCAAATGATTGACAGTCTTCAGGTAAACATTTTGATGAATTTTCTTGAGGTTGTTATTGATTGCAATCTTATTTGGTGTAATGTCCTATTGGTTGCATAGATTGAAGTTTGCCAATTGAAGAAAGAACTAGCAGAAAAGGAATCACAGTAGAGTGTCAAAACAAATGAAAGGGCTGCAGATGATGAACTGTCTTGGTTAAACGTTTTGAGCCAAGAAATCAGTGAAAATGTTCAGGAACGGATAAACTTACAGAAGGCACTATTTGAACTTGAGGAAACCAATCTTCGAAACCGCACTGAACTCCAACATCTTGATGATGCTATTGCAAAACAACAGGTTGGACTTTGAGGCTGCTGCTTTGCAATTTCTTACCTATATTTAATGAGTTGTGCTTGTCATTAACGTCTTTCCTTCTATTGATGTTTCTCAATCATGGAAGACAGAAAATTTCTCTTTTTCTTTGACAAAATCCTTTGAATTTTGATACCAAGATAGAAGTGAAGTACACAATGTTTGAGTTATTAGTACTTGCAACCCATCCAATCATCAATCTACCTAACCACCCAATGGCTTTATATGTAACATGTCTTAAGAATATCCTGGTCAAAGTAACAATAACAAATGACAAGCTTTCTGTTTTTTAGTTTCTCTTTTTCCCCTTTATTTGGTGAGGTGGTGGGTGGATTAATTATACAATTTTGTGATATTCATAGGCTTCTGAAAAGGATGGTACAGTTGTTGAAGCTCTGAGAGTAAGGAGGCAAGATATTCTTGATAACATCTGTGACAATGATGAAGTCCTCTCACCAGGAGTCTATATTGTGCGAGTATTTCAAAATTTTGACTTATGGTATCTATCTATAGCTGCTAATTTCCACTTTATGCAAAGGTTAATACATTGTGTGACTCTAGATAGTGAAACAATGGCTTATGCCATCAAATTCTCATAGTTTTCTTCGTATTAATGCAGGGGATGGCTAATGCTGAGCTTCAGTTTGAAATGGCAATGAGAGATCAAATAATTCACAACCAAAGAGAGGCACAAAGAAATCTTTGGAACTTGCTTATGGGGTTGGGACTAGACGAGAAACGGAAATTGGACCTTGCTGCCAAGCAGGAAATAACAATTGAAGATTGGACAATGATACGCTATCTGGACCTTTCAAACAGGGAGCAGTCACCCAAATTGGCAGCTGGAGGATATGCACCTCTCAGTTATGGTCTTTCTATCAACCAATGGCATTCAAGATCATCTTGCATCTACCAGAACTATCAACATGTTGCTTCAAAGTCATTTTCTACAAGACCCTGGGATCTGTCTCCTACTTTTGGCAGGGAGGAGCACCATAGTTCCTACTACTTACTAGCTCATGATAACTCTCCTCCATATGTCAGGTTTAGGAGTAGTGATAACTGGGTTGGTGGTCATCCATTTTCATGGTTTGGAACTCCTGATAAGCTTCCTCGAGATTTGAGGAAATCATATCCTGAGATGATTAGTCTGGCTTCATCATGCAATGAAAGCTATCTGTCAGCTCCAGCTATGAGTGCAGATTTTGAACTGGGGCAAAAGGTAGGATTTAGTCATGCTCATTGATAATTTGCATTATGTTTTCCTGCTCTTCTTCATATTCTTCCTCATATGCTCATTTTAAGAACACTATCAGATTTTTTGTCATGATCTATTGTCATACTTTGTCTCTTAATTTTTCTCTGTTACAGAGGACGATATGAGGCACAATCTCTATAGCAAGGGTCCTCATGGTGGAATGATCAGCAGCCAAGACACAGGAGCAATTGTTGGTCATGGTAGATCAACCAATGGTTTATTGGGATTCATCCCATCCGAACAAAGCTTTTGTTCGTGCAGCTCAAATCATATTGTCGAAAACCCCAACTTCTCAAACCATCCAAGCCTTTCCCGCATGCCTTCTTTTCCTTCCCAAAGCCCTAAAACTTAAGCCTATCCCTCCATTTTTGTATAGCCCTCTTTGTTTTGTACCCTTGTCTAACTTTACATTTTTTTTTCATTCTTTTCCCCTCAATTTCCGTGCATTCATTGTCTGTAAGAATTCGCTCTTAGTAGGAATTGATAGCTGAATTCTTTGTTTCCCTCGTGGAGAGACAACTCGACGTGTAGCTTGACAACCCAAGCAGCGGAATGTAGTTATTTCTGTATCAGTATGTTTCATAGCAGAAACATTACTATCATTTTGTCAGGTTACGCCAAATGCAATTTATAAGTTGTCGTATGAAACAGTTAACTTGCTGTTAACTTGTTTATAATGTTAAATGTTTATTTATTTATTTGATGAATTTCAGATTGTGTTTAGGATCTCCTTGAAGAGACGACAACAGAGTAGCTTTCTTTTTTTCAGCTGTGATACAATCAGTAAGTCCGTTCGGGTTAAATCTGATAATTCTTGCGTTATATTTATTTTGCATTAAATATGTAATAAATATAAAAAATTATTATATTATAACTCATCAGAAATATATTTTTTATTTTATTGAAATTCATTTATAATTTTTATGAAAATTGTAAATCAGGTCGTTTTATATATATATATATATATATATATATATTTATTTATCATTTTCAATATTGTTTCTAAAATTATCAGATGATTTGTAGAACATGGTGTCTAAGAACACAACTAAACTAGCATAAGAACATCTTCTCAGTTATCACTGCTTAGTTTCCTTCACACTTGAAAGCCTTAAACCCTCCCCAAAACCCTCTTCCTTAAAATCCCCAAAATAGAAAATCTTTGAAATTTCACCCTAAAAATATGTCGGCAGAAGCAACAACAACAACAACCGAACCTTTCAAACCCTACAGTCTCTCCCAAACCCTAACCGCCCACAAAAACGCCATCTCCTCCATCAAATTCTCCTCCGACGGCCGCCTCCTAGCCTCCTCCTCCGCCGACAAAACCCTCCGCACCTACTCCCTCTCCCCCACCACCGCCACTCTCTCTGCCATCCATGAATTATCCGGCCACGACCAAGGCGTCTCCGATGTGGCCTTCTCCTCCGACTCTCGGTTCCTTGTCTCCGCTTCCGATGACAAAACCCTCCGTCTCTGGGATGTCCCCACCGGCTCCTTAATCAAAACCCTCCATGGCCACACAAACTATGTCTTCTGCGCCAACTTTAACCCCCAATCTAACATGATCGTTTCCGGTTCTTTCGACGAAACGGTGCGTGTTTGGGACGTGAAAACGGGCAAATGCTTGAAAGTTTTGCCGGCTCATTCTGATCCAGTCACAGCTGTTGATTTTAATCGAGATGGGTCCCTCATTGTTTCGAGTAGTTATGATGGGCTGTGTAGGATATGGGATGCTGGAACTGGGCATTGTATGAAGACTTTGATTGATGATGAGAATCCGCCTGTTTCTTATGTTAAATTTTCGCCTAATGGGAAATTTATACTTGTTGGCACTCTGGATAATACTTTGGTAAGTTCTTGATTTTGGGTTTTTTATTTTTTAGTGTATGTTAGTTTCTTAAAACGTTCTGATTTTCTCTGGTTAGATTGAGGATTTTGTGTATTGTTGGTTTTCTAATATTCAGAGTGAATGGATACTGAGGAGATGGAAATATAAATTTAAACTCATTGGAGGTAATTTTGGGGGTGCTTAGGCTGGAAATTAAGGAAGGAGCTGCCAAAGCTTTGTAGTACTTTGACAGCATCATCTAATGAAATTCTTTTTTTAGTTATTTTAGTTCATCAGTTTGTTTTCCTTACTTTTTTGTCACTTCCATGTTCAAATCTATTCTCAATGAGATAACATTTCAAGTTTTCAACTTATGTATGTATATGTATTTGTGTATTAATAATGTTCATGGCCTTGTGCTACTACTCACTGGTTTCTGTTTCTGTTTTTTTTTTTTTTTTGTACTTTTTTCTAGAATGCTGTTTTTATGTGAAGATCACAGCTCTTCTTAATCTTTAGATGAGTGTGTAAATTTGGCCTTGTTTCCTCTTCATCACATAACCTTATATAATGGCAAGTTAAATTTTCAGCTTTATTAGCTATGGAATCAATGAATGGCTTGTTTTGTCTAATATCTCAGTAGCTGCTACTGAAAATCATTCCTTGTTGAGAAAAATAGTTAGGTTGTCTATTTGGATTTGTAGAAATGGATAGAGCATCTGTCCAGATGCCCCATAAGAATTGTTAATTTGTCATACTCGACTCACTTGCAATGCAGTTTCAACCTTTCCATGCTTCCTTGCTTATAAATGGACCTCACACTTAACTTTAGGTGCTATTGCATTTGGAAACAATCTGTTTAGCTGAATTATTTTTGAGTTTTTTTATTTTTCCCTTTATCAGTTGACTTTGCTTATAGCATATTGAAGGGAGTTGCTACATGCAGTTTCCTAGGCAAAAATTTATCTTGTATCTTATTTGTTGAGTTCTATATGCCTATTAAAATGACTTTGAAGTATTTTTTGATGTTCTTAGTTCTGACAAAGATTAATTAGATATTTTTGTATTTCTGCTTGTTTTCTCTACCCGGTGTCCATTTTCTCAATTTTATGATAGATTATTCAAATATTATGTATATTTGCTGTACTTTTTCTTATTTTCACATTATCTCTGCAGAGGCTTTGGAACTTTGAAACTGGGAAATTTCTGAAAACTTACACTGGCCATGTGAATTCAAAGTATTGCATTGCATCTACTTTCTCTATAACAAATGGGAAGTATATTGTTAGCGGTTCTGAAGATAACTGTGTATACCTGTGGGAACTTCAGTCCCGAAAGGTAGTTCAGAAGTTGGAAGGTCATACTGATGCTGTTATTTCAGTTGCATGTCACCCCACTCGGAACATAATCGCATCTGCTGCACTTGGCAATGACAAGACTGTGAGGGTCTGGACCCAGGAGAAGGAATGATCCGCTTCTAATAACAGTTGTTTGATAACATCATTCAAGTTGGGGCGCTGGTGAAGATTTTTATTCGAAGTGTAGACCAACTTGCTTGTCTGGCTGAAACTTGCATTTTTCTGGAGCTATTTATAACATTCTTCCTTGTACCTTAATTTCACTAGTGATTTTGAACAGTAAACTTGCAGATTTCTATGCAAAATGTGATGCAATAGCTAATGCAAGAAGGGAATTCGGTAGCATGAAAAATCAGGATCAAGTTTCATGGACCTCTATAATATGTGGGTTATCCCAAAAGGGTCATGGAAAGGAAGCCATTTTAATGTTTAAGCAGATGTCGGGTGACTCGGGTCCTCACATTAGACCCAATTGTTTTACTTATGTTAGTTTTATTAGTGCTTGTGCTGTGTGCTAGAAGAGGAATTGGAGGAGAGTGCATTGCTTCATGGGCATAATATTCTACTCACTTCAAATGATATGAGGGTATTCTCAGAATTTATATGGTGAAGAGGCCTTGAAATTGTTTACTGCGACGAGGAAGGAGAGTTTACCTAAACTAGCATTTTGAATACTTGCAGTGGCCTAGCCGTTGTCAAAGAAGGTAGACAGCCTCATTCTTTGGTTACTGAACACTGACACACACACACACCCACACATATATATAGACAAAAGCCGGTTTATGGGCTGGGGTAGCAGGGATTAGGAAGCTGATGAAACGAAGGGGGCTAAGGTGCAGGTTGGAGCTGAGTTGAAGACCATAACATGGTTTATGTTCTTTTAGTTGCTGATGCAATTCACCGTCAATCCCAATATATCTATGCCGAATTGGAAGAACTGAACTTTGAAATGTAGTCAGGCAAGGAATCTGGCAAACCCAGAAACGGAAGTACCACAGTTTGAGTCAGGGTTCCATTGATGATAGTCTGTTATGAAGCTTAAGAGGAAAATCAGGGATTGGTAATGGTGAACTCTTCAAACTTCACCACCATACAACTAGAAGCTGATTTTGCATTATAGTCCACGAAACTCAGAACATTTAGGTACATACAAGAACTGACGAACTTAAAACTCTATTTTTTTTTAACTTTTTGAAGCACACACTTCTTAACGCACCATAAATCATAGTACTAATTGACAAAAACAAGGTATGTAAGAAAATTTAACTAGAATGACTAGAAATTGTTTTCTTATTCACTCCCAACAGTAATTGGGAAATGGAAGGGAGGAAGGAAAATCCAAAAGAAAAGGAGTTGCTGCTGGACCCCTAGTTTGGGTTTGTTGATGTTGTTGGATACCCAACAACACTTGCAAAATTGGCAAGAAAGCAGGAAAGAGGTTAGCTCTTAGAAAATAAGACAAAGCAGTGTTCCACACAAAATTTAGACCAATGATGTGCCTGCAGCCAGGCTGACTGTACACCTACAAACGGTCGAACACAAAACGACAAACAGCAAGGGTTTCGGCCTTCGAGTCTTTGTAACCTTAGTGCTGCATTCGTTATTGTTATTTCGGTTTGATTATTAATTAATTTACTTTACTAGTATATTAAATGTTGTTTAATTTAATATACATGCAATGAGAATTTTCGTCGTTACTAGTTATAATTTTTATTGACACATGTAATTTTATTAAAAAAAAAAGAAGACAGAATATAGTTGGTATGCAGATTACCATATATACCTACTCTTCACATATTATTTACCAAAATACTGCTTAATAAATACATTAATGGCCATTTTCTTGCAGCTGACAACCAGATTATGAGGACAATTTTGTAACTAAATTTATAAGAAAACATAAACAATATAAAAAAATTAGAATTTTTCCAAAATTTTAGGGAAATATGAATTCTAACTCTTGAGTCCTCACATGCATTGAGATAATAAGAAGAAAAAATAGAGGTAGAGCTTAGAATTAATACTTACTATTATTGTGTACAAAATTACCCATTTACATTGTTTAATTAGGGTGAAATCTGGGTTTGGATTTGTCGATTTCTTTAAGGATACGGATAAAAAAATATTTAAGTTACAGAGGGAAAAAAAAACAAAATAAAAAGATGCTAAAATTTTAGATTATGTCAGGATTGCCACACATGTTATTTGCTAACATAGTCATGCCTTGTGTCTATTGACTCATACGTGACGTATCTCATCCGCATTCTATCAGAGACTAATAGATATATAAGTAATAAAAAACATTTACTCAAAGGTTATTAGATTTTGTAGATGGATGATCAAAATAAAATATTTAAAATTCAATAATTATTCGTGTATTTTATTTAATTTTTTATAATGTATGAAGGAAAATGTGATAATTTTTGAAAATATTAAATTAATAATGTAATTTCACTATAATCTTATCTCGTAATTTACTTGAATTTTATTAATAATTGCATATCATGATTTTGGAGGAGAGTTTCAAATCACATGTTTCATACTAATTCCCTCTAATTTTTGCATCTTTTTAACGATTATGTCAAACAAATATTAAAATGGTTCAATTGAACGATGTACTAAGTTTCACATTGGAAGAAGTCCCAAAAAAAATTTTTTTAAAAAAATCTTAACAAGGTCGGCATAGTCAGCTATGCACTTCTTGGTCAGGACATGGGCTGTTTAAATTTCACACTTCTTTTCACAGCAAACAAATGAACAATCATGTTCATAACCTGAGCTATATCAGGAAATGCTGAGTTTGGGTTTCATGAAAATTTTGATATGTGAATAACTGAGTTGAATTTTAAAAAAAGAAAAAGAAAAATGGCAATTATTGTGATGTTTTTCACACCCTGGACTGGATCCACTAATTGGTTTGAATGACATGATGAGATAACTACAGCGCAGGGTATGGAGGCTTTGATGATAGCAGTTAAGCATTGATGTTTGTGATTGGCCTCTTTTCTAGGCTAGAATTATTAAACAAATAATCATTGAAAGAAAGATTCATAAACCAAAAATGAAATAAAAAAATCTTGACAGGGACCACAATGACTAATTCAATAACTATTTAGTTCTGCTCCTGGTTGGTTTGCAATCTCTATTTGGATCAAGTTGGGATTATTTTATTTATTTTATTATTATTATTATTTTTTTGCAGTGTCCACGATTCCATCTCAGTCTCGAGAAAGAGAGCAACAGCCTTGAATTGAATAATTGTTTCAGGATAAGGACAAAATTTTCAAACGTGGGTTAGAGAAGAATTGATGGATCACACACAACTGTAAGAGTGAAAGAGAGGAGAAGTCTGTTTTGCAGTTTTCAGCCATTGCAGAAGAAAAGGATAGGCTGATAACTACAGCAGTTTTTATAATTACTGGAAAAAGGTAATTCATGAATCTATGGTTTTCTAATTTTTCTTGTTTAAGATGTAAGGTCTGAAAGCGGAGTTTTCTTCTGAGCATATTGGTTTCATTAATTTCTTCATGTCTAAAGTATTTGAATTTGAGCTATCTTTGATCTTTCCAGGAAAATCTTATTACAACAATGGACTCTTCATCAGCGAAATGGTTATCAGAATTGGTAAGCTTACTAATTAAACAGAAACGATCAATATGAGAATATATATGGTTGCAAGTTCCAACTGTGATATTTCTTCATAATTATATATGGTTCGATCTTTTAACTTTTCTAATTTGGGGTTTTGAATTTCTAGGGAATGGATGAATACAACATCATCCACCAATGCCATATGAAATCTTTAGCTGAACTCGCCACCGCAGATGATATAGCCACTGCCCTCGCCAGTGGGAACTTTAAGCAATCATTTTCCTCCGAGAGGTATTCCTCTTACCCTAATTTCACCTCCAAAAACACCACCACTTTTAGTGGTTCATCTATTGAAACTTATGATCAGAGAACTTCAAAGAAGCTCAAAACTAGCAGTAGTTGGAACTCTAGCACAACCACCGAGCATGTTCCCCAGAAACCTTCCTCTCCCACCTCTCAAATTCTTTCTTTCGAGAAACCAACTTCAATGCCTGCCAATTCTCGGCAGTTTTATAACATAGACAACACTGTGAAGCCTAAAGACGAGATTGTATCTTCGGGAAACATGAACTTTTCACCTGTGATCACAAATGGTCCTTTTGAGACCACAAATTATGCACCAAAAACCAATCAAGGGATCCAGAGGACTTACTCAATGACTAGAAGCCCGTCACATGCTCAAGATCACATACTGGCTGAGAGAAAGAGAAGAGAAAAGCTTAGCCAGCGCTTCATAGCTCTCTCAGCAATTGTTCCAGGCCTGAAGAAGGTACCCCATAATATATCTTTATTCTAGCTTTTTCTTTCTTTGTCAGGATTTTTTGAGAAAACCAAGAATTTTTGTTTATAGATGGACAAAGCTTCAGTTCTAGGAGATGCTATCAAGTATGTGAAACAACTTCAAGAACGTTTAAAAGTGCTGGAGGAGCAAACCAAGAAGAGAACTGTGGAATCCGTAGTTTTTGTGAAGAAATCTTGGCTATCAACAGATGATGAGTCCTCTTCATGTGAAGGGAACTCCGATGGCCAGTCATCTGATGCAGCACTACCAGAAATTGAAGTCAGAGTCTCAGATAACGATGTTCTCATTCGAATCCACTGCGAGAAACAGAAAGGTTTCGTGGCGAAAATACTAAGCGAAATAGAGAACCTTAATCTATCTGTTGTTAATAGCAGTGTCTTGCCTTTTGGAAATTCCACTCTGGACATCACCATAATTGCTCAGGTAATTAACTAGCACAAATCGGGAGCTTTTAATTTGTTGAAACTGAATTCAAGATGACCAAAGAAAATCAATACCTTTTTTTTTTTTTCTTGCAGAAAGATGCCGAATTCAACGTGACAGTGAAGGATCTTGTTAAGGACTTAAGAGTGGCTTTATTGAAGTTTATGTGACATCCTAGAAGATATCAGCTTCCAGCTTCATCAGTTTCTGCATCAGATTCTTAATTTCCACTAATATCCTCAAGTTTATGTATTTATTTTTTCCAAATCTTCCAAGGGAAACCAAGGCTCATAAATCTCTAGGTCCCAAAACTTGTTTTACCGTGAGGTTCAAACTACTGTGGGGTTTTTCTTCTGTACTTGGGTTTTCGCGTGGTTTCAACTGTTGACCACGTTCACTTACCCTGATTCTGCAACGGCTAATTAGAATTCATCTAATTAATTATGGTTTCTGGGAGAGCTAAGAGATTTCATTAACCTTGCAATAATGAAATCTCTCCCTTCTCTCTGAATTTGCTTAAACATAGTGTTTATCAACATTGCTCTATATATGTTGTTCTACAATGGAGAGATGAGATCAAGCAGTTTCTCTCAGAATTGTATCTGGGTTTTTTTCAGGGATCTGACCTCCGTCTGAAACTCCTCTGTAAAATTTAAGGTTTGGCAATTCTTCTAGAATTGGACTTTTTTCCTTTCTGTTTCCACTGTAACATTTGATTGAATAACGCAAAGAGTAACAAGGCCCTAAAACTGTACATTTGGATTACTGATTTTTTTTTTATAAAAAAAAAAAGAGAAATTAAAAGAATATATATATATATCATTGAATCAAGCACAATCTATATTGCGTGTAGAGAAGCTCAAACTAATTATATATAAGCTCATGATCAGTAAACAATATAAACTACTGATTGGAAATACTGATTTTTTTTTTTAATAAAAAGGAGAGAAATTAAAAGAATATATATATATATATATATATATATCATTGAATCCAGCACAAACTATAGTGCGTGGAGAGAAGCTCAAACTAATTACAAATAAGCTAATGATCAGTAAACAATATAAACTACTAGCCCCTCCAATGAATTAATGGTAAAAAAAACTAATGGATTCAACTTCTTTTCTTTGACTTTGTGTATATGTATTTATCAAATTAAACATTGTTAAGATTATTGAAAGTTGCTTTTAATTTTACAAGCTTTTGCTGGGGGTTTAAGTTTTTTTTTTTTTTTGGCTTCGTGGAATTGTAGTTTTGTTGACAGTGATAGCTAATAGGGTTTTGAATTACATATGCAAAATCACATTCTACTTTGGTTAATAGAAGAGTTGCAACATTTTCCCCTTTTCACTAATGAGAATATTGCATTAATATTTCAATTTCAAAAGGTTTAAGGGGAAAAAAGAAGTGCTGATCAGAGGCTCAAATCTTAAAAATGTGTTGTGTCCTTTTTATAAAGAATTAAAAGGTTATAGCAACTTGGAGTAGTTAACTAAGTTGTCGGTGTGGGTGTGGATGTGGGGTTTTGGTTAGATACTCTTTCTCACATAAAAAGAAAAAGAAATGAAACAACAACTAAAAATAAAACAAAACAAGGCAAAACCTTCACCATGTATCTCTCATGAAACTCCTAGCTAGAAATGTGAACACACTTTTGTTCAGTTCATCTCTTTATATTTTTTGGATAAATTGTTGCATTCATTACCCAAATGATTGTTCATTTCAGTTCATCTTTCATTATCTCATTCAAAATAAATTATATATATATAGATAAATAAAAAGTAAAGAGATGAAAGGATTCAAATTTTGAATCAAACTACTTGCACATATATAAAAAAAAGTTAATTATTTAATGACAAAATGTTCGAGTACCATTCAAATTAGGCTTGTGAATTTCTACAAGTGAAGAAGAAATAACTAATAATTTTATGTAACTCTAGAGTATTGGAATATTAATACAACGTGGGAATTTCTAAAAAGTCATAACCTTATACCAATTACCATCTTGAATTTAAAGCAATTAAATCTTCCTTGTCCACTCGACGTCATCATCAAGAAACAAGATATTCAAGCAATTCAATCTATTTTGGTATCTACATCAAGAAAATCAACATATAATTATTAGGTATTTTGTTGAAAACCCAAACAACAAAAAATTAATTGTTAAATATTTTAATTAATTGTTAGGTAGTTGTTTGAAACAAATAATCTCTTTCCCATTTCATCCTCTTTCTAGTTTCATCCTTAGTCTATTTCCTTCAAATTTAAAAGAAAAGGTGATCGTACACTTTCCATTGCATTTTTTTATCAACTTCATTTTCTCAATCGATGTGGTAATTATATGTAATACAAGACATCATTCCTCATTAATTCAATTAATTCGTGGTTAAATATGACTAATGAAGCAATGATTATAACATATCAATTCAAACAAATATGAATGTCACATTAAATCAAAGAGGCAAAAGGTACATTTTTCTTCTAGAAATTAAAGAATAAGAGTTAACAAATTAATATTTTCTCAACATACGGATAGCTCTTAATCAATTTACTTAAACCATTATAAGAGTTCAAATCCCTGTTTAAATCTCTATCATTTCAAACCAAGATATAATAGGATTTTGGCTATACTTCTTGATTTCACAACAAATGAACATGAAAATAATTATTTTCCCAATAGTCCAAAATTTACCCAAACAAAGGTGCCAAAAAAACTTATCTCAAACTTTTTTTTTTTTAATTTCCTAATCTCAATTTGATGATCAAAAAGAAAATCTAACACCAACTATTTGGGGTACTTAGATATCCCAACTAGGTTTTTCTTAGATTGCAACCACATTGAAGAATTGCTACTAGCTAAACCAAGCTTTTTCTTAATCAAAGATGCCTTTTGCTGACAGGGATTCGTAACTTTTGTTGACTTATTTTTGGCTGTGGGGAAGTGCAATTCGGCTACAATTTCACCATAATTTAATCATGAATGATTAGATCCATTATTGGTATTGGAAAATGAGAATTGGAAAATGCATGGTTGAATCATTTTCAAACTTAAAAATTATGCAATATGTTAGGCATAATTGTCAGCATTTCATAGCTGACTTCCATTACTCCAAACTCCAGGAAAACAGGGATCACAAGCTGCTAAAATTGCTGCGAGTCAACACCCCCCACCAAGTTTCGACTTTTAATGGTGCAATTAGTTAAATATCAAACCAACCAAGTGATTATTAGTAATATCCAAGTCAGCATGTAATATAATTAACTAAATATGCTGACATTTGAGAGGTTTTAGAGCGTGATTGGTGCTACTAGAATTTTCATGTTTAATATTATAAGAGGTTTCATGTACCTTGTGTTAATGCTGTTTAATTTGTTTCAGTAGAAACTCCAGCGTGAGAAGAATGAATTTAACGGACTACAAAACATTTTCTTTTATCTTTGAAATTAATCTCTTACCTAGCTTGCCTGGTTGCAGCTAATATTCTCCTAGTAAGAAGATAAATAATTATTTGTAGATAAGCCATTTCAACATATAAACACAAATTGTAATATAATATGTTACTGGAAATTATTGATTAATGTCACATTGTTATTGATGGATCTAAAAGTGTCACTATTATTAATTAAATTGTGATGACAATGTTAATAATCTGTTATACCCTCATTCATTGAAGTTACAATTTCTAATAATAATAATAATAATAAAAGAAAACAAGAGGATTTTTCTTTTTTATTTTTTGAATTTTGATTTCTGAAAGACTTACTGCAGGATTTGGAAAAGTTTGATTCTTGGATTAGCATCCCTTCTTCCTCCTTTTTTTTTTTTTTTAAATCATCATTGTTCTATTCATTTTGTAACTTGGTCAATTAGGATTTAGAATTCCATATATATTTGATATCTCTAATTTCTTTCTTCAGTTTCCAAGAGATCATGTCTAGATTCATTTTATTTCATTTTAGTTCCCTTGCTTCATTAAACTTGTTTTTGGAATATATTGTACAAAAAAAATCTTTTGTTTTTCGAATCGGAAAAATGAGATGTAATAAAAAAAAATACTGATATTTTATTATATATTGATCATTCTTATGCCAATTTTAAATTTATAATATCAGTTCTCAAAATAATGTGTTGCACACAAAATTAATTAAATTTAGGTTGAAGCTTTGAGATCATCCTTTTCTAAAAATGGTAAACAGGACTAGAAAGGGTCCAAAGCTTCAAATTCTTGTCTAAAAAAGCCATATCAGGTGCTTCATATATAGAAATAGCCTAGTACTTCTTTTTGTTTTAATTATTTTTCCAAAGTTGCCTTTTTTAATTATATTAATGGCTATGATTGTTTTGCAATTATTTAGGGTTAGTCTTATAGTCATTATCTCGAAGGTCCAAAAAGTTTCCCAATGGAAATAATCAAATTGAAAAAAAAAAAAAATGCAGCACTTATTTTTAATCTAATGCTTTTGAAATATTGTTTAAATATAATTAATCTGATTCCCTTTTGTTTATTTCCCCAACTCCATTTTAGTTTTTACATTTTCCCTTATTAACTTAATTTCATTATAATTATTTCACAAGCCTTTGGTGATAATATATAAGTAGCTATATATGTGTTATGCGTTTTTTCAATAATAATAATAATAATAAAAGCCTTTTGCAATGAACTTTAAAAAAAAAAAAAAAAAAAACTCTTACATACATATATAAATATAATATATATTTAGTAAATCATGACCTCCAAATTAATTTTCACCCCATTTGATAATCAAATGTAAACACAAAAATTCCGATTTCTATTTAATTTCACAAATAAATTTTATGAGAATGGGTGTGGCCAATTTAAAGTATATTAAAATAAGTGAAAAGGATTATTATTATTATATATAGCATTTATATTTATGATTATTTATTTATAATATTAATGGAACTTCTTGTTTTCTAATTCAAAATTTGGGATTTTTTTTGTGAAAATAAAAATTAAGAGGGAGAAAGCTTTTTCTTATTTTAGGGTTAGGGAAGACACAAATCTCAAAAATAATTTATATTAAATTTATAAATAGCTCAAAGGAGTTTGTTTATAATAGAACTCAAACCTAAACCTTTTTAATATTTAGATTTTAAATAAAAATCAAATTTAAGGTTGAACCCGAAAGTTTAAGTTATAATTAATTTAAATATACAAAGGATAAAAAATATAAATATAAAAATCGAGAACCCAATTTGAAGATGAACAGTTAATTCCATGTCCTTATTTGGGCATCGCT